TCGATCGAGAATTTAGTCAGTGGTAAACATGAATGTGACACTATGTTTTGACTTTTTCATGAACTTAAATATTGATATGAATAGATCTTTTCAAAGCTCTGATAGGGGCAATGCAGAATATTTAACCACGTGGCTATCACCAGAAGAGTAAAAAATTTACATTCAGAGTGGTACACTGAATAAATTCCACAACGGCTTGCCATACGAAAGAGTTGCTTAGTCTATATGTTTGCCAAATATTGGTCAATGCTAATTTGTTTTGTTCCTAATACGCTTCCGTAGGATTGAGTTCATTCACATGGATCAAATTATAATTTGAAATTATTTTGGCAAATTTAATGCACGATTTTAAAAGAAATTTAATTCAAAATTCAATATTTAATGGTTAATAATCATTAAATAGTTCGAACTTTCCTTAATTACTTGTCTGGGTCGATATAAGATGGTCCGAGTTGACTTAACATAGTCGGTCCAAAATTTCTCCGGACCGACTTGTCCAATAATCATCATTAAAGCGTTTGACAGATAAATGATTGGTTTGCCTTATATTAAACGCTAAGGTAACATTGATGTTGATTTTTTAATATTAAAAAATCAGCGTATTTTTAATATTAAAAAATCATTTATTAATATTAAAATATCAGACTGAATATTTAATATTAAAAAATGATTTTTTTAATATTAATAAATGATTTTTTAATATTAAATATTCATTTATTAATATAAAAAAATGACAGTATTTTTTAATATTAAAAAATCGATTTATTAATATTAAAAAATGATTTTGTAATATTAAAAAATCATTTTTTAATATTAATAAATGATTTATTAATATTAATAAATAGGGAATAAATTCCACAACGGCTTGCCATAAAATACGGATAAACAGCTACAAAATTTTAACAAAGTTTCCTTCAAGATACTAGCTTTTGATCATAAACAAGCTTGGTTCAAATCCAGGATAGTTTAAGAAAGTTATTAACATTTTAAAAACTTTAACCACAGAGTGAATGTAATGTTTCCTGGCAGAAAAACTAAGTCCATTTATAAGTAAAATACGGAAAAACAGGATATTTTTTTTACAAAATTTACTTCTGCATAAACAAGCTTCTGTCCAAGTTTGATAGAAATCCAGGATTGTTTAAGAAAGTTATTAAAATTTCAAAAACTTTAACCACAGAGTGAATATTTGTGGACGCCGCCGCCGCCGACGCCAACGGAATGTAGTATCGCTATGTCTCGCTTTTTCGACAAAAGTCGAAGGCTCGACAAATATCAATAATCCGCTATCGGGACAATGAAATCTCAACAGATCGATCAGTTTCCAGTCCCGTTAGTTTAATAGTCCCAGACAAAAATAAAACAGTTGGTTTGTTACTCAGATACTTTAAGCAATTCTAGCTGTATTTGGTGTAAGGAATGATTGTAAGGTTAATATGTCCGTCTGGCAGGTTTTATATGACCTTGATATTTTGCTCATGGTTCATTGAACAATGTTCAGTTTTTAAAGTTTGGTCTATTTCTCACATACTATAGACAATAGGGCCACTATATTAAGTGAGTGGAATGATTTTAAGGTGAATATGTCTGTCTGGCAGATTTCATTTGACCTTGACCTCATTTTCATGGTTCATTGGTCAATAATAAGTTTTCTTTGTTTATGTAAATCAAATACTTAAAGCAATAGGTCAACTATAATTGCTTTATGGAATGAGTGTTAGGGGAACATGTTTGTTTGGCAGGGTTTATCTGACCTTGACCTCGATTTTCATGGTTCATCAGTCTATGTTAAGTTTTCATGGATATTTTTGTTTCTCAGATACTATAAGCAAAATCTATTATATTTTTAAAGATTAGAAGCTAAAATTAAAAAAATTAGTAAAAAAAAACAACTCTTTTTTAAAGAGCAAAAACTCCTATAAGGAGTCATCTGATAGTTACGGTTATTGACAGGTTTTTGTAGATCTGATAGTTCATAATTTCTACCTATCTATTTAGTCCAAATAATTATGACGTCTAGAAAGGCTTTTTTAATTGTTTACTGTGATGTCTTCAATTCCTCACAACAAAATTTATAATAGCTTTTCAAGACTTCAAAATTGATAAGGTTTCGATATATCTATCTATAATGGTTTTCAAGATAATAGACAAAAACTCTAAAATTAGTGAAAAATCATCATGTCATCTGATGATTTTGTCATATTTGGTTTTATTTGTAGATCTTGTATAGCTGATAATTTTTTGCTGTCCACAATTTCTATTTAACTAATACAGTTTTCAAAATAAGAGGCTGAAAACTGGTAAATTAATCAAACAAGAGGCTCTAAAGAGTCTGTGTCGCTTATATAGGTCTATGTGTATCTTCAACAATGGACTCTCCAACTAGAATATTATGCATGACTTGCGTTTTTTCTTAATCTTGTATATTGCTGATCGTTTTTTCGGTTTACAGTTTCTCTTTATCTTCCATAGGTTTTGCCCAAATCATAAAAAAAAGGTGAACATTGTCATTTACAATGTAATAACTCTTATAAGAAGACAACTGACAAATTCATCTATGCTGACTTATTTACAGATCTTGTTTTGCTATTCATGTTTGCTTTAAAAGTTTCTATCTAATTCCTAAACTGTTGGGACCATAACCCCCAAAATCAATCCCAACCTTCTTTTTGTGGTTTTAAACCTTGTGTTTAAATTTCATAGATTTCTATATACTTATACTTAAGTTATTGTCAGGAAACCAAATGTCTTCAGACTACGCTGACGCCGAAAACAACGTGATACCAATAGCGGTCGTATAAAAATGCTAAAAATCGGTATTTTAAGGGTAATAACTCCTATAAGGAGTCGACTGATAACTTTGGTCATGTTGGCTCATTTGTAGATCTTGTCTTATGATCATTTATGCTATTTGCAGTTTCTATCTATCTAATATATTTTTCAAGATAACAAGAAACAAGAATGTGTCTATAGTACACGGATGCCCCACTCGCACTATCATTTTCTATGTTCAGTGGACCGTGAAATTGGGGTCAAAACTCTAATTTGGCATTAAAATTAGAAAGATCATATCATAGGGAACATGTGTATTAAGTTTCAAGTTGATTGGACTTCAACTTCATCAAAAACTACCTTGACCAAAAACTTTAACCTGAAGTGGGACAGAACGGACGGACAAACGGATGCACTGACATAAAAACATAATGCCCCTAGGTGGGGCATAAAAAGGCAAAAAAACTAAAAAAAACTGGTTAAATTGTCATCAAAGGACAATAACTCCAGTAAGGAGTCAACTGACAATTTCAGTTGTGTGACTTATTATTAGATCTTGTCTTGCTCATCATTTATGCTATACACAAAATGTATAAAGTGTATGTCTACCTATTATGATTTTCAAGATAATACGCAAAAATTTAACAAGCATTCTAAGAGTATTGCATGGCAATACATAGTCCCCTACCGGGTAAAAATTCATTATACTGGAACAAAATGCTAACTTGTTCTATAACTTGTCATGGTGTAAACAAAAAGAAAATATCAAGTCAATATCTTCAAGCATGACTAAAAACAGTGTGGAAAACTGAATATATGAGTGAATTTTTTTCAAGTCCAAGGACCATAACTCTACACAAAATTATCAGACAGAAACAAAAATTTGAACTTGATCTGTAACTTGTCATGATAAAACTATATACCAATTGTCAATCAATATCTTCAAGCATGATGAAAAAAAGTGTGGAAAACCTATAACACTCTAACATTAGATATGATTAATAGTTCTCTAAAATTAGATATGATGTAATACAATGTATATCTATTTTCAAATCACAATCAAATATAATTAATAGTTCCAAATATTTTTTCTTTCATTTGTCACAAACTAATATAGATTTGTAACTTATCTATAAAATGTCAACAACTTTTATTTACACAATGTAATGTAATGAAATATATACCTTAATAAAAATAGATTATTATCTAATTAAAGGATTTCACCTAATAAAAAAAATATATATATATATATACATGTAGCATTCAGAAAATTAGTTTATACAAAATAACATATAAACCTGCCACAAAATTCCTCAAACAATTTACCAAAGAATGTCTTTTAAAAAATGAGTTATCTCCCTTTGTACAGATATATGGTTTAACATAGTACTCTAACATTAGTTATGGAGTTTTTTTATGGACCATAACTCTGGACTAAATCAATAGACCGGAACAAAAATCGAACTTGATCTATAACTTGTCATGATAAAACTATATACCAAATATCAAATCAATATCTTCAAGAACGAAGAAAAAAAGTGTGGAAAACTGAGTTGATGGACTGACGGATGGACAGACGGACAGATGGACAGAGTGCAAACCTAAAGTCCCCTTCGACTTCGTCGGTAGGGGACTACAAAAATTGGTAAAATTCATTGGGCAATAACTCCTACAGAAAATCTTCTGGCAGTTTTTATGTAAATAGACAGAAGGTAGATCTCATCATTCTGAACATTTTTGCCTCTGTCATACTTTCTCTTTTTATAGTGGTTTTCAAAAAAAAATAAAACTTGAATTTTAACTGCGTTTCATTTTTACCCATGTCGGCCATGTTGGTTGGCTGGCCGGGTCATAGGACACATTATTTTAACTAAATACCCAAATGATGATGAAGGTTAAGTTTAGTTAAATTTGGCCCATTATTTTAAAAGGAGATGATCTTTGTAAAAGTTATTGGATGGCGACAATGACAGACGACGGACGCCAAAAGCTCACACTGTTCCCTTAAGCCAGGTGAGCTAAAATTGCTTAAATAGGAATGATAAATTGTAAAAAAACAATGGTTAAAAGATGAATGGTATTTGCTATGACATGAGACAAACAAAAACTTGTGATTCCTTTCCTTTCAGGTATAAAATCAGTGCAAATAGATACTGTAATGATAATATACAACAAAGATGGGGGGGGAATATCTTTGATTGACGGCTTCCTTTACATCAGAAAACAGATTAAGCAAGTAAAAAAAGTTTTAATTCTACAAATTTAGTGTTTAAAAAATAAAAAGATATATAAAATAAACATCAAAATATCATATTTTATTGAATAGCAACATTATATTTCCCCCAGAATGTTAACTTAGGAAAAGTTATCCTGCAATATTCTATCATATGGCCCTATTACTTCAATTTATCCACATCATCAGTAACCAAAATATGTTTAAATTTTGAGTTTGAGCTAGAGTTCAAGTCAGAGCTGTACTTCAAGAAACACTTTGTGTTATTAGAGTTAAAGTTAAATGTTTACATTTTTTGGAAGTAAAATAAGAGAAAAAGAAAATTCCAACATGAATATTAAAATGTTGAAAGTGAATAGCTGAAAGAGAAATCTCAAAATCAAAAATAGGAAAAGCTAAAAAAGAATAAATGTGGAATGTATCAATGGGACACAGATGATGCCCCCACTTGCATATAACATTATAAAGGGATATAACTCGAGAACTGTAAAAGTGACGCTACCCAAATTTGTACTTGATCTGTGTTTAGTGGTAATAAGCATTGTGCATAAGTTTCATAACATTTGGTTGAGGCAAACTAAAGTTAGAGAACAGAAACAAATATTTCAGGAATTTTTCCATTTGTAAAGGGGCATAACTCTAGAATGGTAAAAGTGACGCCACCAAAATTGAAACTTGATCTGTGTTTTGTGGTAATAAGCATTGTGTATAAGTTTCACAACATTTGGTTGAGGCAAACTAAAGTGAGAGAACAGAAATGAAAAATTCAGCAATTTTTCCATTTGTAAAGAAGCATAACTCTAGAAAGGTAAAAGTGATGCCACCAAAATTGAAACTTGATCTGTGTTTTGTGGTAATAAGCACTGTGTATAAATTTCATAACATTTGGTTGAGGCAAACTAAAGTTGGAGAACGGAAACCAACTTTGGGACGTACGGACAAGGGTAAAACTTAATGCCCCCTCCGCTACAGCGGGGGCATAAAAAGTGATTAAATAAAATGATTTGTAATACAAGAAACATTTGTTTTTAGTCAGGTAATGGTTGTTTGGTTTTGGTAATGAAGACTGTCAAGGAAAAGATGAAATTTCTGGATAAAAAGATAACTGTTAATTTATTTTTGTTTGTGGGGTACCAAAGTTTAGTGAGTATAGGTAAATCACCAATTAAAATGTTCAACAAAGTATCATTTTTTATTTTATAGGCTTGCATGCAGACTTTAGCAAATCCATGAATATACAGTTTTTCCTCAATCCACTAAAATAAATGAATCCACAGTAGGTCTAGATAATAAAGTTTTCCCATAATTCTTTTCTTCCTAATGGGCATTATCAAACTAACTTTAGTAATGATTGAATGAATGTTTGGTTTGACAGATGATATCAGAAAACCCAAAACTTGCTCAAATTTCAGTCAATCAACTGCTGCTCTGATCTTAACCTTTAACCTCAATTCATAGTCTGTTCGTAGACACTGTGGCATTTGACTTATGACATAAACCTCTAAACCAATAAGGCATATGTTTGTTTTCCAATGGGAAATTTAAAGCAAGGTTTGGAGCAGGTAGGATGAATGTCATCCAGAAAGCAAAGTTCATCTATTAATTACTGCATTGACCTTGACCTTTTTTCAAAGTTTCTTAAAACTCAATAAGGTCTTCTTTAGGGACATTATCAAACTAAGATTTGTAATGATTGGAAGTTTGGTTCAAAAGATATTATCTGAAAACCCAAATTAATACGGGTCTTTTTCACCCCCAAGTTGCATTATAATGAAAAGATTGATGACACAAGATATGTCTGAAAACGAACCTTTACCAAATTCCAGTTTGTCTATTTAATCTACTGACATAATAATCATTTGGAATCTTGGGCTTTCCAAGGGACATTTTTGAGCTGTTTGCAAAAGTTTGACATAAGATTAAAAAAATATCATCCTGTAGCCAAAAAACTAGACCAATATCAATCTATAATTTAAGGCTGTCACCTTTACCTTTTGATCATCAATATAGATCTTTTTCCCACCATTGGAAATTATCAAACTTAGTTTGGCAAGGATGTTGTTTTAACTCAAAAATTTTGTCTAGAAACCAAAATATCAAGGTCAGAAAGTACAGACTCCATTCATCAAATTAAAAAGCAGAATCTTACTACCTTTCTGCAACTCAGCAAAAATATTACAAATTCAGAAGGCTCAATTTTGGGAAAAATTATTAACCCTTTTCAGAGTAACTAGTTCCATATTTTTAAAGGACAACATTTTATGATAACAGTCAGTAATATCTAACTGTCATGACTGTAGGATATTGCTTTCTTGACAAAGTTAGTATAACATGCATAAATTTTCTTTCAAAGTAACTGTGAAAAAATCTCCTTTATGGCTTAACGAAAAGCATAAGAATCAAGTATAAATATTTGTATAGATTAATTCCATTTTAAAATCTATCCATCCATGAGGATCTAGATGGGGTCTTCATTTTTGTATTTTCAGGCCATTTTTCTTTGTTCTTTATCCATTTTGCCCATTATTCTCTATTCTTTGGTTTTTGGCCCATTTTTCTCCATTCTTTTTTTATTGCCAAAAAATATTCTTTATTCATTAAATCCCATCCAGACACTCATCTATAACATTGTTCATAAATGTCATATTTTTTCTTCTTCTTCATAAAATAACATATACAATAAAAGAATAAATACAAAAATTAAATTAAATGAAGCACAAATAAAGTGGATGAGATTATATTTGTCCTTTATCACACAGTTTCAGACCAGTTTTAACTTGAGAACATATCCTGAAGCTCTTTCAGTCTTTCTGCATCAGCCTCTGCAAAGAAACAAATAATATGGCTATTTTTTTAATACTGTGATTAACAGAGAAATGATACCAACTTTTATATAATGAAAAAGCTAATTTTGGCATGAAAAAAAGTGCATTTGTAGTAAATCAGTTATTTCAACATTGAATCCCTAGTTTCCTAAAATTGGTCACTGTTTCAGTTTATATTCAAGTTGTGGTCAAAATAATGAGTCACATAATCCAACATTTTGTGTTTAAGGAAATATTTCAGGATATCCACAAATCATTGAGGACCTCCTGAAATATTTCAAGATCTCCATAATTGGATATCAGGACCTCTATAATTTGATTTCAGGATATCTAAAAATATTATTATCATTTGCAATAATTGTATACCTCCATAAAAATTTGCTTGACATCTGCTGATCATTTCTGCTGCTTATCGTTTCTCCCTAGGTAGTTTATAAGGAGTTGATTGAAAATTACCCTTCTTAAATTCATTTGTAGATCATATCATGCTGAACATTTTTGCAATTCACAGTTTCTCTCAACCTATTATAATTTTGAAGATAATAGCAAAACAGGGAAAATGCATTATGTGAGGTCAGAAACTTCTATAAGGAGTCAATTTCCAATTTTGGTCAACCTATTTGTAAATCTTATTTTGCTGATCATTTTGGCTGTTAACAGTTTCTATTTATCCATTATCTATTATAGTTATAGTAAATAGCAAGAAACAAAAAAAAAAAACTGGCAGATCATTTTTACCATAATATTTTCTCTCTATCATTAAAATTGTCAAAAAATATAACACACAAACAATTGTCATTTAAGGGCAATAGCTCTGTAAGAAGTGGATTGACAGTTTTTGTCATGTTTGCTTATTTGTAGATCTTATCTTGCAGATCATTCGATTATTTTCATCTCTTTATATTTTAGTTTTTAAGAAGACAGCAAAAAAAGCAAATTTACTTTTTACTAGATAGCCCAGTCCACTTTTGACTGAGCTTGTTTCCAGTAGTTTTAGGAAAAAAGATTTTTTTCGATAGATTTCTAATTCCCTATTTTTTCCCATCTATATAAGTTTAATCCAATCATGCAGGGGAAAGTCGTTACCACCTTGAAACATAAACCATTTTAACAGTGACCTTGACCTCTGATCTATTGAGTCTAATTCAACAGGCTTCTTTCTATTTCCCATATCTTACATCAGTATATTACTTTCATTTAAATTCAAGCAAGGAAAACTCAAGTTACCATCTGGAAAGGGATTATTATGTGCTGCTGAAATATTAAGGGGTTCATAAAAATGCCAAAATGTTGAAAGCATCTAAAATAGTCAAGTAAGTTGATTGTTTTAACATGTCATTTTTTGGTTAAATACAATAATGTTTTTTTTAACCAAATATTGAAAATTTAATCCTGTCAACAAAAATTGCTGATTTTCAGTCAATAATTAATATTTAGACCACTATGAAGTAAATGTTTTAATGGTTGCAGTTGAAAAAGAGAGCAAAAGATACTAAAGGGACATTCAAATTAGAAATCAAGAATTTTAAAAAGTACAACCATATAACATACCTATTCTCCTCACTTGTCTCCTGTCATGTTTGTCTATTCTTCTCTGTTCCATTTTCTCAAAAACAACTCGTTCACTAAAAAAAAAATTACCAAATTAAAATAATTTCTCTATCTCTATGTAACTCTCAAAAACATGTTCTTCCCCTCAAACATGTCCAGTCCCAACAAAGTGTCCACATGATATCACTTTATGCCCATACATGGTCTAACTTGTGTAGGAAAAGGAAACTTTCATAACTCTCAAGCATCTTCATATTTTAAAATGCCCAAACGTGTCCACCTTAATTTTTAAATAGGATTCGCTGTTACACCAGGGTAGGAATGACCTTTACCATTAAGTGTAAAAATTGTAATTTCTGGCAAACCATTAGGGATAATTGTGATTCTTCAAAATGTCCTTAGTAGACCTATCATAATTTATTAGAGGTCTCAAAGAATTAGCGGGTACCTGTTTTTTTAAAAAGATATACAGTGATTCGTTAAAATCAACCAATTTGTTTATAGATATAAGAAGATGTGGTATGAGTGCCAATGAGACAACTCTCCATCCAAGTCAAAATTTATATAAGTTTTATACTTATTTGAAGAAGAAGAACACAGAATATTTTTTATTATTTTGTACTTTACAAAAACCTAACAGATACCACCAAAGTCTGCAAACATAGCTCATAATATTTAAGTAGGGATGTCAAAATACCGCTAAAATACAAAGATATCTTGGAGATTTAAGATTTATATAACTGAAATTATACTGAAATGTGATAAAAAAAGTTTGTAGAAAAGATGTCTTTGGACTGGAATTTATTAAATGAGCCACCTTGTTCCTGTAAAAGTTATTCTTAGTTTTTTTTTAAATGAAAAAGCAATAGAAAGATATGGTAGTTGATATCAGATGTTTGTCAAACATCCAGTGACAAATATTTCATGGATATTCAGGTAGAGAACAATTTAACTTTTGTCTAGCATATTCTGTGACTAACATGAAGATTTTCAATGTGTCCAGATTTTTTTAACCATCTTTGCATTTAAGGTTCAGGAATTTTGGGACCTCAATGCTCTTCAGCTTTGTATTTTATTTAGCCTTTTTAACTTTTTTTAATCGAGTCACTGATGAGTCTTTTGTAGATGAAATATGCGTCTGGACTCTGGCGTACAAATTTTCAATCCTGGTATCTATGAAGAGGTTTATGGAAATATTTTCAAGCAAAAGTAGGACAAATTCACACAAACATAAAATAATAAAATGCTCTGCTGGGTGCAGCTTGATACGACCGCAGATGTCGAACCCTGAACAGTTGGGGCAAGTATGGACACAACATTCAAGCTTGATACAGCACTGAATTTGGATTGTGATTAAATATTTGACACAGCATAGGTTTCTGACACAGAATGAATGTGGTTTAAGAACTTAAAAATTTTTAATTTACCTATTCAAACCATATCATTATTATTTGCTTTTATATATAAATCAGAAATAACCAATTTAGAATGGAAAATTTAAAAAAAAAAAAAAGGAAAAAAAGGAAACCCCCTCCCCCCCCCCCCAATTTTTTGAACCCCCTTATGATTCATCACCCCCAAACTCAATCCGAGCCTTCCCTTTGTGGTATGGTACCTTGCAGTACAATTTCAGAGAGATCCATACACTTGAACACAAGTTATTGTCTGGAAACTAGAAAAATGCTTGTTTTTTGGCCCCAAATTCCTAAACGTTTAGGGCAATTACCCCCAAACTCAAACCCAGCTTTCCCTTTGTGATATGGAACCTTGTAGTACAATTTCATAAAGATCCATACACTTACACACAAGTTATTGTCCTGAAACTAGAAAAATGCTTGTTTTTTGCCCCTTTTTGGCCCCTAATTCCTATAAATTTGAGGCAATTACCCCCAAAATCAATCCGAGCCTTCCCTTTGGGATATGGTACCTTGCAGTACAATTTCAGAGAGATCCATACACTTGAACACAAGTTATTGTCTGGAAACTAGAAAAATGCTTATTTTTGGCCCCTTTTTGGCCCCTTATTCCCAAACGTTTTGGGCAATTACTCCCAAACTCAAATCCAGCTTTCCCTTTGTGATATTGAACCTTGTAGTACAATTTCAGAAAGAACCATACACTTACACACAATTATTGTCATGAAACTAGAAAAATGCTTGTTTTTTGCCCCTTTTTTTGCCCCTAATTCCTAAAATTTTGAGGCAATTACCCCCAAAATCAATCCCAGCATTCCCTTTGTGATATGGAACCTTGTGGTACAATGTCAGAGATATCCATACAATAACACACAAGTTATGTCTGGAAGTTACAAAAATGCTTATTTTTGGCCCCTTATTCCTGAACTGTTGGTACCATAACCCCCAAAATCAATCCCAACATTCCTTTTGTGGTATTGAACCTTATGGTAAAATTTCATAGAGATCCATTCACTTAAACCAAAGGTAGAGTGCGAAAACCAATGTGTCTTCGGACGACAATGACGATGCCATAGTCATACCAATATACGACAGCAAATTTTTTTTGCAGTTGTATAAAAATTAGGAGATGTGGTATGATTGCGAATGAGACAACTATCCACCAAAGTTCAAATGAAGTGGATGTAAGCAATTATAGGCAACTGTACAGCCTTCAACAATGAGAATTAATTGCTTTGCCGAGCGCAGCTGGATACGACTGCAGAGGTCCAACCCTGAACAGTTGGGGCAAAAATGGAAACAATATTCGCGCTTGATACAGGTCTGAATTTGGATTGTAATTCAATATTTGACACATAATAGGTTTCTGACACAGAATAACTGTAGTCAAAGAACTTAGAATTGGTTATATGATTTGAATTTATATTCAATTATTCAATTTTTAGCTTTTGTGCAATACACTATGCTGTTGCAATTGACCTCCCCCCTCCCTTTTCAAAAAAAAAAATTTGAAGGATTTTCTTTTTGATTTCTGCAATCTTGAGGAGAAAAAATTGTCCCCCACCCCCCCCCCCCCCACCAATTTTTTTTACCCCCTCAGTCATGGTCATAATTTTAATTCAAATTTCCAATGGAGTTTGCAACCATAATAACCCATTTAATTACATCATAAAAGTCTTAAAAAAGAAAATGACATACATAATCATAGCTAAAATTAATTTACCTTAATCAGCATTTTTAAAATTCTTAAAATAGTAACTTCTAAAAATGAATTGACAGCTAATCACCTCAAGACAATACAAAAATTCTTTATACATAATTTGGTCCGAGTACACAGTTATTTCGTAGTGCATTTCTTTTAGACAATAAATGAAAATAAAAAAAATCCCATCTGTGCTTTCCCAATAATATTTTACAGTGTGTTGTACTACTTTTGGGACAAATTATATCAAAATAATAGAAAACTTCATCAGCTCTAACTCAAAATATGGACAATTTCATGTTAAGGGGGTCTTGAAATCTTCTGACAGCTTCCGAAGTGCTAATTTTTAACCTTTTTCAGCTGGACCAAATCACTTCATAACTTTAAAATTCATGACCCAAATTTTTTTTACAGTATTATTTCATCCCCCTACTTGCTATGTGAGGCATAAAACATGAAGAAATACATTTGGAAGAGGTATACAAAAAATTGGCAAGTAACACACTGTCCACACTAGGGACTATATTCGTGGACAACGAAAATCAAAGGACGATAACTGTGTACTCGGACCATTTAAAAGCAGTGTAAGGGAGGTAATTCAAAGTTGTGTTTGAATTACCTCCCTTACGCTGTAATTTGTACTTAAGTAATTGTCCATTAACCAGGACACCCTTGTTTTTCTCACCTTTTTGCCCCTAATTCCTAAATGGTTTGAGCCATAACCCCCCAAAGCCAATCCTAACCATCCCTTTGTGGTATGGAAACTTGTGGTATAATTTTAGAGAGATCCATACACTGTTCCACAAGTTATTGTCATGAAACTAGAAAAATGCTTATTTTGGGCCCCTTTTTGGCCCCTAATTCCTAAACTGTTGGGACCATAACCCCCAAAATCAATCCCAACCTTCCTTTTGGGGTTATAAATCTTATGTTTAAATTTCATAGATTTCTATTTACTAATACTAAAGTTATTGTCCGGAAACCATATCAATTTTTTTTTGGAAAAACAAAATTCATACAAATTGTGAAAATAAAAATATCCAATATTATCTAAGTGGTCTCAATTATGTCTATATTCAAAATAAGAACCAAATCCCCTGAATTGATGTTTTATGGTGTTGAATATCTATATAGTTATAATAAAATATTGTGTATATAATAATTGGAGTTAGTATTAAAAGTATCATGACATCAACTTTCAGACCTAAGATTACTCAATTGTATGCATATTTTGTATATAAAAGTATATGGTCTATGAAGATAAAAGTTTGAAATTAAACAAAAGAAGAAATAATATATATCTACATTGCAAAAATTTCAAATTAGCAAAACAATATCAAATTGTAGACATGGTACCCTTGCTAACAGTTCTGGTCTACATGTACTTGTCTCTGTTTAAATATATATCTTTACTTAACTTTGTAGAGATAAGATATATAGTAGGAATGTCAACAAGCACTCGAGTACAAATGAAATCTAAAAGTAATCATGATCACACCTGTTTTTTGCATTGTAATTGATTAAATCACTTTTACTTGTAATTAGAAAATACATGATAACTGGGTACATATGATTACATGGCAAAATATAAATTGATTATAACTGATTATGATTACCCTATGCTTGCCCATACCCCACATCTCTTTTTATTCATATTTATGCCCTACTTTTTTTACAGTTTCATTGATCAGAAATTAAGGGATTATAATTGCTTTAAACGTCTGTATATGCTTTACAGCTTAAACAGTCTACAAATAATAAAACTAAAATGTAAGCTTGTAGTTCAAAAAGTCAATAGATAATGAATTGAATTTTTGTTAAATTCCTAAAAAAGACAAAATACTACTGCCACATTTTTGGACAGTACCAAGTCAGGCTATCTGGATCTTTTGTTTTTCTTTGTTGTATGTTTGTTTTTAGGAGTCAGTCTGTTGTAATGTGGAGTATTTTAAGAATTCCTATTATCACTTTTATATATTTTTCGTAATTGTTATCAATAAAACCTTAGAAACTTACTTATGACCTTGAAAATCAATAACCACTGTGCCTTTACCATTCCTTTTGATGTAGGTCTGTTCAAGCTTAGCCTGTGTATCTGTATCATATGTTTTCCATGTTCCGTCATTTTCTTGATACTGCCATACAAAACAGATTTGTTCCTCTGAAAATTTATAATGAATATTTTCATTATTTGCTGTCAATTTATAATCTTTATGAAGCAAGAACCTTGAAATCTGAATGCTTAATTACCTGAGTGTAAAAATCTCCCCATCCCAGGTAAATGTATTCCATACAGGGATAAAAAAAAAAAGTAATATTTATCTCCGAACAGCAATCCACCCCAGCTAAATGTTTTTGTGCGGGGATAAAAAAATAATATTCAATATATGATATGAAACATTTACATACATTTACATGATTATAAACAATAATATGTGTAATATATTCATTTGTATATCAAACAAGAGGCTATCAAGAGCCTGAATCGCTCACCTGTAATTTTTTGCTTAAATCTTTCATCAATGATTATTTTTGCTTTTCAATATATATTAATGAGGGGCTTAAAAATGCCATTTAAATGTTCTTTGTATCTGTCATATTTTCTTCAAAAGCAAAAAATGCATTTTACCCCCATGTTCCATTTTAACCATAGTGGCTATGTTTCTTGACGTACAAGGAAATAAAATACAAAATTTATACTAGATACTCTGAAACTCATTCAGCCCAAGTTTGGCTTAAATTGATTCAGCAGTTTCAAGGGGAGAAGATTTTTTAAAGTAAGCAAATTAGATGAACAAATTGTGAAAAATTGTCTTTAAGGGCATACAATACAGTTACAAGGGAAGTAATGACGTTGCTAACGTAAATTGTTATTTTCGCGACGTCAAACTGTGACTTATCGGGAAAAGATGCAGTTTTTGACTGATTTTTATCATTCAAACTGATTTAACTTGAAAATGAGTTCATGGACCCTTCTTTTTTAAAATGACATTTGGTTTGATTACGTATGAAGATTATGTGTACCAATTTTCATGAAAAAGTGCAATTATTTTAAATTTGATAAATATACAGCAAAAAATGACGTTTTTTTTCTACATTCATGAACATTTGATAAATATGAGTTATTTGTAAAAATAAAATGTACAAATTTATAGAGCATTTATATAAAACAGAAATTACAAATAATTTAACAAAAAACAGCTTTATGTTTGTGTTTATCTTTTAAAACAAAAAAGTTATGTATTTCTGTCGAAAAGTAAAATACGTCCACAAATCCGAATTTTGAGGAAATATCAACCTCATTTTACTCAAAAAGTAGCACATGATGGTATATTTTTTATTGCATATTTGATTTAATCAGGTAAAAAATAGCCTTTATGCAAATTTTCATCAAAATTTCATTACGGGATCAAAACTGTATCGTATGCCCTTAAAGGGCAATAACTCCTTAAGTGGTCAATTGACAATTTTGGTCATTTAAACTTATTTGTAGATCTTACTTTGCTGAACATTTTTGCTGTTAACAGTTTATCTTTATCTATAATAATATTCAAGATAATAACCAATAAAATGCTCCGCTGGGGCGCAGCTTGATATGACCGCAGAGGTCGAACCCTGAACAGTTGGGGCAAGTATGGACACAACATTCAAGCTTGATACAGCACTGAATTTGGATTGTAATTAAATATTTGACACAGCATAGGTTTCTGACACAGAATGAATGTGGTCTAAGAACTTAAAAATTTTTAATTTACCTTTTCAAACCATATCATTATTATTGGCTTTTATATATAAATCAGATATAACCAATTTAAAATGGAAAATTTTAAAGAAAAAAAAGGAAAAAAAAATCCCCCCCCCCCCAAAATTTTTGAACCCCCTTATGATTCATCACCCCCAAACTCAATCCCAGCCTTCCCTTTGTGGTATGGTACCTTGCAGTACAATTTCAGAGATCCCTACACTTGAACACAAGTTATTGTCTGGAAACTAGAAAAATGCTTGTTTTTTTGCCCCTTTTTGGCCCCAAATTCCTAAACGTTAAGGGCAATTACCCCCAAACTCAAACCCAGATTTCCCTTTGTGATATGGAACCTTGCATCTCAATTTCATAAAGATCCATACACTTACACACAAGTTATTGTCCTGAAACTAGAAAAATGCTTGTTTTTTTGCCCCTTTATGGCCCCTAATTCCTAAAATTTTAAGGGAATTACCTCCAAAATCAATCCCAGCCTTCCTTTTGTGGTATTGTACCTTGCAGTACAATTTCAGAGAGATCCATACATATGAACACAAGTTATTGTCTGGAAACTAGAAAAATGCTTATTTTTGGCCCCTATTTGGCCTCTTTTTCCTAAACTTTTTGGGCAATTACCCCCAAAATCAATTGCAGCTTTCCCTTTGTGATATGGAACCTTGCAGTACAATTTCATAAAGAACCATACACTTACACACAAGTTATTGTCATGAAACTAGAAAAATACTTGTTTTTTGCCCCTTTTTGGCCCCTAATTCCTAAAATTTGGAAGCAATTACCCCCAAAATCAATCCCAGCATTCCCTTTGTGATATGGAACCTTGTGGTACAATGTCAGAGAGATCCATATACTAACACACAAGTTATGTCTGGAAGTTACAAAAATGCTTATTTTTTGCCCCTTTTTGGGCCCTAATTCCTTAACTGTTGGTACCATAACCCCCACAATCAATCCCCACCTTCCTTTTGTGGTATTGAACCTTATGGTAAAATTTCATAGAGATCCATTCACTTAAACTAAAGTAAGAGTGTGAAAACCAATGTGTCTTCGGACGACGCCGACGACGACGCCAACGTCATATCAATATACAACCACAAAATTTTTTTGCAGTCGTATAATAAGCATAATAGGTTTCTGACACAGAATAACTGCAGACAAAGAACTTAGAATTGGTTATTTGATTTGAATTTACATTCAATTTTTTGGTTTGTGCAATACACTATGCTGTTGTGAATTGACCCCCCCCCCCCCCCCCCCAAAAAAAAAAAAAGAAAAAAAAAGAAGAAATTTTACCACCCTTTTTTTTTGCTTCTGTTCAATACACTATGCTGTTGCGAATTGACACCCCCCCCTACTCCCCCCCCCCCCCACACACACACTTTTTACTTTTTTTGCAAAAAAAAATGAAGAAATTTTCTTTTTAATTTCTGAAAACTGAAATGAGATTGTCCCCCCACAATTTTTTTCCCTCCCCCCCCCCCCCCCCTTTAAAAAAAAAAAAAAAACTTTCCCTCAAGATATGGTCATAATCTCAATTCAAATTTCCAATGGAGTTTGCAACCATAATTACCCATTTAAATACATCATAACATCATAAAAGTCTTAAATAGAAAATGACATACATAATCATGGCTTAAATTAATATTCCTTAATCAGCATTTTTAATAGTAACTTCAAAAAATAAATTGACAGCTAATCACCTCAAGACAATACAACATTTCTTTATACATAATTTAAAAGCAGTGTAAGGGAGGTAATCCAAACATAACATTGTACTTTTAAGTAATTGTCCATCAACCAGGAAACCCTTGTTTTCCCCCTTTTTTGCCCCTTATTCCTAAACGGTTTGAGCCATAACCCCCCAAAGCAAATCCTAACCATCCCTTTGTGGTATGGAAACTTGTGGTCTAATTTCAGAGAGATCCATACACCTTTCCACAAGTTATTGTCTGGAAACTAGAAAAATGCTTATTTGGGCCCCTTTTTGGCCCTTAATTCCTAAACTGTTAGGACCATAACCCCCAAAATCAATCCCAACCTTCCTTTTGTGGTTATAAACCTTGTGTTTAAATTTCATAGATTTCTATTTACTAATACTAAAGTTATTGTCCGGAAACCAAATGTCTTCTACAGAAGCAGACGACAACGTGATACCAATAAACGTCCGCAGAATTTTTTGCGGTCGTATAAAAACTGCAAGATTTCCTTTAAATTACTAATTTAGTGGCAGCAACCAAACAATGGGTTGTTAGATTCATCTGAAATTTTCAGGGCTGAAACTTGACCCAATGAACATTTTTACCCCATGTCAGATTTGCTCTAAATGCTCTAGTTTTTGAGATATAAGCCAAAAACTCCATTTTACCCCTATGTTCTATTTTTATCCATGGCGACCATGTTTTTTGACAAAACAGAAAATAAAACACAAATTTATTCTAAATACCCTAAGGATCATTCAGCTTAACTTTGGTTGGAATTGGTTCAGTAGTTTCAGAGGAGAAGATGTTTGAAATAGTTTACACCGGACGGACAACGACGATGGACGCCAAGTGATGGCAAAAGCTCAATTTTCCTTTGGAAAGGTGAGCTAAAAAGGATAACAATAAACTATATATCATTTTATTTTGCGACAGCTTTTTTTCATGATTTGATTTTCACTGCATATTATTTTCACTGATTGCATGTTATAAGTAAAATTTTCGGGTTTTGACCACAATTTGATCAATAGTTTGACGTTAATTAAAATTGATGAATATGTCAATGATTGCTGTGTGGTCAAAAGGTATGAAATGTATGATAGCAAATCCAATTATTATGAAAACTGAGATCTTTATTAAATATCATGCATATTCTTGTGATCTGTCAATCAACACAAAAGACTGATTTTATAAATAATTTTACCTGCAGGGTATTTCAGCTTTTGGGTGAAAAGAATTTTATTTTCACAGTTTTTAGCTGTCGCACACAAACTGATAATTAAACACTCTGACTCACGAAAAATAACCTGATATGCGGAAGTAATTTAATTCATTTTCAATGTGTCTGCTAAAATTGGGGTGCTAAGATTTCCATGGTATAAAATTGAGTTAAGGAGCAAATTTGTTATCTAATGGGTAATCATGGGTGTACAGAATTTTACACTGAGTGTAAAATTCTGTTTACCCCTGAATATACCAAGATAACTAATATTATCCTTGCCTATTAGACACAATCATCCTTGTTCAAACCTACAAGTTTTACAATTTCTAGGCTTATTGTGTGCTCACCATTTGAAATGCAAATGCAATAAATAGTCAGTCATCTTTTTTTAAATTTTCACATCAAATTGTGTCCTTTTTTTCTTAATCTGAAGAAAGCTTAAACCTGAGAAACCATTTATCTTCTTTCACCTATTTTTTTACATTCAAGGATATTAATATAAGGCTTATTTTTTAAAATAAATTGTTTGATTCTATTTTATTTCATGGGGGAAAAAATTGTTTAGAAGGAAAGTGAAAATAAGATTTTTTTCATTAAAAATCATGACTAAATATGTATTGCTATACAGTTAACAACACTTATGGTCCTACATCCTGTGGATACTTATATTTTTAGTCTAGGAAAACATGATATATCTTTTAGTTGTAATTGGATTTGAACAAGCTTTCAGTAACAGGGAGTACTCTTAGATTGGTACTTCAAGTTTTGTTTAACTATTTTTTATTTTACTTCCTGCAATTTTTACTGGTTCTTTTTATGACTTACTGAGGACCTGCCAGGAAGGGCCAAAGGTACAACTTCATCTTTTACAATTACACATTTCTTGCTGTAAGGATAAGAGTTATTATTATACTATTGTTTTACTTTGGTGATTGCATGTATATCATATGTTCTTTATCATTTAAAGTGATACCTTGTGTTACTTCTGATGTCATTGAAGAAAGATCTGACCAATTATTATCATCAGAAGTTTGAGTAGTGGATGTCTCCGTAGAAAGCTGTAATTTTCTTTCTTTATCCTTTGGCCTATATATAAGAAAAGATTTATATCATTTATATATATATAAGCAGCCTTTTCACAAATGTCTTAAAGGTCATAGAAGTGATATCTCTAAGAAGCCACTACTCCCAGTAAGCTAGCATTTCAGACAGTCGGGTCACAATCTTGATGACTTTAACCATATGAAAATCCTAATGATTGAACAGAACATTCACTGGAGTGATGGCAAGCAACAGGTTTGGAAAAGCTTTTGGATAAAGGAACTAAATGTATACAGCAAAGGAAAATGCACAAATTATCGATAATATTATATATTCTGACAGACTTCCAGCTAGCTCACTACAAACTTCTCAGAGTCTGAAAAAACCATATTTTGTGCTCGACCAGTAAGGTCTAGCACAGATTTTACTTGATAAGACTCGATATAATCTCGACAGTACTTAACTGTACTCGACTTTGGTCTCAACTTTACTTAATAATCTTGGATTTTCATCAAAATCTACAGCTATCTCAATTATATATTAATCTTACAAAATAGCAGGTTATTTGGTAATTTGGTTTATTGCTGTCAAATTTAAATATTTATTTTATAGGTATCTATCTGAATTTAGTCAAAACTGAAAATCTTAGAGCTTTTTTTTACCTATTAATTAAATCCTTAAATTTGACAGCAATACACCAAACGACTATCTGAATTAAATCTGAACTGAAAATTATAGCTTTTTTGACCTATTAATTAAATCCTTAAATTTGACAGCAATACACCAAACTACCAAACAACCTGGCATTCTGTAAGATCAATGTATAATTGAGATAGGTGAAGAGTTTTATGAAAATCCAAGTTGATTTGAAAAAGTTATAGAAATAACAAGTGAATCTGTGAGCTACTGCTCACTAATGATACCCCCGCCCGCTAAAAGTATAAGGTAAACAGGAAGTTGTTGAGTGATGAATCTGAAAACACATCACACAGTATAGCTGACTCATATAAACCCTGATACCAAATTTCAGAAATCCTTGTAATGTAGTTCCTGAGAAAGATGCGACGAAAAATATTAATGGGACAGAGGGACGGACTGACGGATGGACTGACAGATGGATGGATGGATGGATGGACAGACAGAGGTAAAACAGTATAACCCCACTTTTTTAAAGCAGGGGTATAATTAAAGGTGACTATCTGAATTTAATCAAAACTGAAAATTCTAGCTTTTTTTTTACCTATTAGTTAAATCTTTTAATTTGACAGCAATGAACCAAACTACCAAATAACCTGGAATTTTGTAAGATCAATATATAATTGAGTTAGATGGGCTGATTCAGACCAGTCGAGACTAAATTTTAAGATCCAGACTGAGTCTAGACAGGTCGAGACTGAGCCAAGACTGATCGAGACTGATCGAGCATTTGTAGAGACCATTTCAGACTATACCAAGATTATCAAGTACTCAGTCAGACTTGTTAAGTAAAGTTGAGACCAAAGTCGAGTACAGTTAAGTACTGTCAAGATTATGTCGAGTCTTGTCAAGCAAAATTTGTGCTCGACCTTACTGGTCGAGCACAAAATATGGTCTTTTCAGACTCTGAGCAGTTTGCAGTCTTGACCTTACTGGTCGAGCACAAAATATGGTCTTTTCAGACTCTGAGCAGTTTGTAGTATAGTTTACCATAATTGGAATCTAAGTGATTCATATAAAAGCCTAGGTTACTATGTTTCCAAAAATATATTGTTGCTATCACAGTACATGGAATTCCAAATATTTTAGTAACCAAATTTCCAGGCTTTTCAAGGATTTCATCTTTTTTCAAGGATGGTACATATCAGAAAAAATAGATAAAGAAACCATAAGTAACTTTTGTCTCCATAAGACATTTGGTTAAGCCTCCCTGTACAGAAACTATTGTACAGTGTAGAGAATAGAGCATGACATATTATTGAACTTTGGAATTCCAAAACAGAAATAACTGAAATTTTAAAAGAAGCTACCCAATGTTACAAATTCAAAAGCTTTTCAAGGATATTGATCATTTCCACAAATGTCAAGGGTATTTCTATGTCCCTGAAAAAAAAATGACACAAAATTTAATTTTTATTTCAGCTTTCAATAAACCCATCATAGATAAGTTAGGCACTTTCAAGAAAAGGTGTGTCTTTTAGGAAATTTACAATAAAATGCTTCGCTGGGCGCAGCTTGATACGACCGCAGAGGTCGAACCCTGAACAGTTGGGGCAAGTATGGACACTACATTCAAGCTTGATACAGCTCTGAATTTGGATTGTGATTAAATATTTGACACAGCATAGGTTTCTGACACAGAAAGAATGTGGTCTAAGAACTTGAATTTTTTTAATTTACCTATTATGGTCCAATGTCCAAAATCAAAATACATATTTAGATTCAGCATATCAAAGAACCCCATATATTCAATTTTTGTTGAAATCAAACAAAGTTTAATTGTGGACCCCAACTTTGACAAACTTGAAAACTGGGCCCATAATCAAAAATCTAAACACATGTTTAGATTCAGCATATCAAAGAACCCCAAGAATTCAATTTTTGTTAAAACTGTTAAAATCAAACTAAGTTTAATTTTGGACCCTTTGGACCTTAATGTAGACCAATTTAAAAAACGGGACCCAAAATTAAAAATCTAAATACACGGTTAGATTTGGAATAACAAAGAACACCAATAATTCAATTTTTGATGAAATCAAACAAAGTTTAATTTTGGACCCTTTTGATCTCAATATGAACCAATTTGATAGCTGGGCCCACAAATAAAAAATCTGAATACATGGTTAGATTCAGCATATCAAAGAACCCCATATATTCAATTTTTGTTGAAATCTAAAAAAGTTTAATTGTGGACCCCAACTTGGACCAACTTGAAAACTGGGCCCATAATCAAAAATCTAAACACATGTTTAGATTCAGCATATCAAAGAACCCCAAGAATTCAATTTTTGTTAAAATCAAACTAAGTTTAATTTTGGACCCTTTGGACCTTAATGTAGACCAATTTAAAAAACGGGACCTAAAATTAAAAATCTAAATACACGGTTAGATTTGGCATATCAAAGAACCCCAATAATGCAATTTTTGATGAAATCAAACAAAGTTTAATTTTGGACCCTTTTGACCTCAATATGACCCAATTTGATAGCGGGCCCACAAATCAAAAATCTAAATACATGGTTAGATTCAGCATATCAAAGAACCCCATATATTCAATTTTTGTTGAAATCAAACAAAGTTTAATTTTGGACCCCAATTTGGACCAACTTGAAAACTGGGCCAAAAATCTAAAATCTAAATACATGTTTAGATTCAGCATATCAAAGAACCCCATATATTCAGTTTTTGTTGAAATCAAACAAAGTTTAATTTTGGACCCCAACTTGGACCAACTTGAAAACTGGGCCCATAATTAAAAATCTAAACACATGTTTAGATTCAGCATATCAAAGAACCCCAAGAATTCAATTTTTGTTAAAATCAAACTCAGTTTAATTTTGGACCCTTTGGACCTTAATGTAGACAAATTTAAAAAACAGGACCCAAAATTAAAAACCAAAATACACAGTTAGATTTGGCATATCAAAGAACCCCAATAATTCAATTTTTGATGAAATCAAACAAAGTTTAATTTTGGACCCTTTTGACCTCAATATGAACCAATTTGATAGCGGGGTCCAAAAATAAAAAATCTAAATACATGGTTAGATTCAGCATATCAAAGAACCCCATATATTCAATTTTTGTTGAAATCAAACAAAGTTTAATTTTGGACCCCAATTTGGACCAACTTGAAAACTGGGCCAAAAATCAAAAATCTAAATACATGTTTAGATTCAGCATATCAAAGAACTCCATATATTCAATTTTTGTTAAAATCAAACAAAGTTTAATTTTGAACCCTTTGGACCTTAATGTAGACCAATTTGAAAACTGGAGCCAAAAATAAAAATCTAAATACACGGTTAGATTCGGCATAACAAATAAATAAATGTGGTCAAAGATTTTACAAATCTAATGTGCCATACTGTGCAATTAAAGATTACTTCTTGAAATTTTTCAATATTTGAAATTTGAAAAAAAATAATATTTGAAGAATAATTCTGTTTAATTTCTGAAATCTGATATGAGAAAAAATTGACCCCCCACAATTTCTTTTTACCCCCCCCCCCCCCCTTTTTTCCCCCAAAAAATTCTTTCCCTCAAGATATGGTCATAATCTCAATCAAATTTCCAATGGAGTTTGCAACAGTAATTACCCATTTAAATTTTACCATAGTGCTAACTTAATCTATTTTATAATAGAATTTAAAATATAGTGTCAAATCTTTCATATGGATTTTTTTGTAAAAAAAAAAAGATGCAACATTTGCAGATATTTTTACTGGTCTTCCTTTATAAATATGCATTTCTTTAAACATAATTTAAAAGCAGTGTAAGGGAAGTAACAAAAACGTTGTATTTGGATTACCTCCCTTACACTGTTTTAAATTATCTTAATTGTTCATTAACCATTACTTTATACATAATTTAAAAGCAGTGTAAGGGAGATAATTTCAATGATATATTTGATGTATCTCCCTTACACTGCTTATATATGTTTTGTACTAAAGTATTTGTCCATTAACCAGGACAACCTTGTTTTTCCCCCTTTTTTGCCCCTAATTCCTAAATGGTTTGAGCCATAACCCCCCAAAGCAAATCCTAACCATCCCTTTGTGGTATGGAAACTTGTAGTATAATTTCAGAGAGATCCATACACCGTTCCACAGTTATTGTCTGGAAACTAGAAAATGCTTATTTTTGGCCCCTTTTTGGCCCCTAATTCCTTAACTGTTGGTACCATAACCCCCAAAATCAATCCCCACCTTCCTTTTGTGGTATTGAACCTTATGGTAAAATTTCAAAGAGATCCATTCACTTAAACTAAAGTTAGAGTGCGAAAACCAATGTGTATTTGGACGACGACGCCGGACGACGATGACGCCAACGTCATACCAATATACGACCGCAAAAATGTTTTGCGGTCGTATAAAAATTGGAATCATAAGCTTTGTTAGACATATGTTCATGATAGTGGATTAATAGCAAAGGTGCAGGAAGGCAATCATGCAAGAAATAAACAAAGGCTGGAGTTTCATATAATCAGGAAATACTATCTGCTAATATCTTACAGATGTAATTGCAAGTTTATAAAAAAGAAGAGATTTGCGTTAACTTAATGATGTTAAAGCTGTCAATAATTCTACGGAGGAATACTTTCCCACCACTAATCACATCTGATTATCCACCAGCAAGTTACTATAGTTGCTTCTTTGAAGTATGTTTTCCAAATTTATAAAATTATTAAAGCACGTTTTCCAAATTTGAAATTATCAAACTCTTGCCATATGTGAGATAACTATCTGCAGGAAGCCATTGTTGAGGAATCAATCTCAACCCCTAAAAAGATTGTTTTTGTGGTTGGATCCACAACATTTGACCAATTTATCCAAAAACCTAATTTCCATAACAAATGAACTAAGGTGTTTAGAGCTAGTATGCACCTTTCTTTATTTTGCTTACATATAAGATAAACACCTGTGCCAAGAGTGCACAATACATCCTTACTGTGCATATTGAAATTGCTACAAGAATAAAATGGGATATTTCGATGGCATTCAATCATAAGCAGATAAAACGCCACTGTAGAAAAGCATGCCTTAGGATACAGTTTTTTTATAATTCCAACAGTTCCTGATGTTCACCAAATCCAAGAATTATGTAAAGTTTCCACTAAATCAATCCAAGCAAACTCAAGTTATGGTACAAAATGTGAAAAATTTACTTAAATCTGACAATCTAAGTCCCATAACTCTGGAAAGACAAACCAGAACATTTAAAAAATCTAAAGGGAGCTTTCTTTCATCAATCCACACAATAATGTAAAGTTTGGAGGAAATCTAACCAGGAATACTGGAGTTAATGCATGATTTGTAAAAAAATAACCTTAAATGAAACAGTTACAGTTCCGAAACTTTTAGCCTTAAATATAACAGTTAAAGTTCAGGAATTAAAAAAATCACAAGGGAGCATAACTTTCATCAATCACTACAATAATGTAAAGTTGGAGGAAATCAATCCAGGAATACTGGAGTTAAAGATTGTGATCAGTTTCACAAAAAATCTTATGACTAAAGTTGATTGTAGGTATACTGAATTGTTTATAACTTACGATCGACTTTAGTCGTAAGATTTTTTGTGTAACTGACTGCTGATTTGTAAAAAAATGCCTTAAAAGCAACAGTTAAAGATCTTTTAACTCTAGAATGACAAAACCAAAAATAAAAAAAAAATTAAAAGGGAGCTTTCTTCTGTCAATTGTAATGTTGTTTTAAAGTTATATGAGAATTGGTTAAAGCAAATTTGAGTTATCATATGAAGTGTTGACTGATGGATGGACCTTGGTATACCATAAAATATCCCCTCTTTGACAGGACTATAAATATCATTAAGATAAGCACAATGGTGAAACCCCTGTGTGACATCAATCTAGTCTCCGCTTGGGAAAGTCTGAAATATTCCAGGTGCTGATTTAGCACCAAAAGTTAGTTTTTTGTCAATAAATATGTATAACCGGCCGTCTGGGAAAGTCCATTTGAAACCTTCTGACTTCAAAAACTGATGCTCAGACAGATCTGAAAGCAGATTTAAGGTCCACCTTACTCATGTAAAATAAAAATATTGTCACCAATTTAGCAGCATCATCATTTGTTTGAAACTGCTGTTTTTCAAACTGACACCTCCATCAGGTTTAGGAATTGCTCCCATTGGACTTATAATCCTTGGGGAGGATTTTGCCAAAACATGATTTCCACAATGTATTTCATTTAAAATTTTAAAATGAGCTTTATCATAAAGGGCAGAGGGGTGGTTTTTTGCAAAAATACTTTCAAGCAGATTTTCCTGATCAACAATGTCAAAACCAGATGAAATTCTATGGAACAAAAACTCCTTATCTAAATCATTTACAAGCTCTTCTTCCTAGAAGAATGAGAGGATGCAGAGTGAAATTAACCACAACTAGTTGCATGCTATTAAAATGCAACCATGGCGTGAATTAAATTTACGGCATATTTCTTTACCAGATGAATATTAGCTTTTGCATGCAACTGAACACACCTTTGTGTGTGGGCTTTGGGAGAGTGGGTCACCTTTGTTATTAAAAAAACAGTTTGGATATGAGGAATGTTTGTTCCCCATCTGAACATGAAAGTAAGTCAATAAAGTTATAAATATAGAATAACCATACATTGTCTCGAAATATAAATTTTATTTGTACAAGGCTTAGAAACAGGTAGAAAGCGAGGTTATACTTTATATACTGCAACTCCTACAACTGTTCCAAATGAAGTACTAAGAGTTAAAACCATATTTTTTTAATTAAAAGCGAAACAACGTATACGGTCAGTGACTGTTTGTCACAAATGATTATATGGTCAATGCAATTTGACTGCTCAAATAGCACAGTTGCAGTATATACGGTGGTTGGCTGCTATTCACACACGTCTGTATATAGTCTTATTAGAGGTTCCTAGTGGTATTGTTAAAGAGATGATGAAAGTGGATGATAAAATGTTCGGTTTAATTTCCCAAATGGTTTATTGACTTACTTTCATTTTCTATTCATCTAAATTATTTTGATTTTCACTTTTACTTTCTACTTTTTTCAATAATGTCGTCATAACATCCATTATTGTAACATTACTTCCGATTAACCGCAAAATGTGTACTTCACTGTTTTATTTCATGTTCATACTTGTCGTGAAGATGTCACGCTTGCTGGCAAAACATGTCGACCTAATAAACAAATACCATGCGGTAAAAAATGAGTGTTGTCTTTTGTGGCGACATATTAAATTATCTTTGTCTAACAATTTCTATACAAAATGACTAAAATAGCCATAAACCACTGACATAGAGAAACTGATTCCTGTGGTCAAGTGCTATAATAATGTTCTATTGAAATCTGTGCTTGAAACACTTACAAAATCAACAATGTTATAAAAACTTAATGTAAATTTGGGATTCTTATCATGATAGATTGTCACTCAATAATAAAGCAAAAATGCTACCTTTATTTGCAGTAGTTGATGTAACCTGTTGTTGGTGATTCCTAAATTGTCCCTACACTTTTTGCATGTAGGAATCGCATTTGTTTAAAATCCCCGCATGGGCAAGTCTAAATAAAACACCACTTATGTTAAACATAAGTAAATTAATATCAGTCTGCTCTGCATGCTGCAACCTAAAGTGCACACATTCTTGTCTAAACACAAAGACATTTAACTGTAGTAGTACAAACCATGTTTTCATTTATATAGCAATGAGAAGAAAAATGAAGTCCAACTACCAGTTTTTGTGAATATCTAACATCCCTCTGGTTAAAGCTGTAGCTCAAAAACTGTAGACGGAGATAGCCGGACAAACCATGATCTCTTTATGATGCTAGTACCAAAAATTAATATGCCCCGTTTCTGACTTTTAGTACAAAAAATGACTAAGTCCAAATACCTGGCACTTTGAGAATTTGTTTGAAAAAAATCAAAATCCTGTGGACATGCACACCTCTATTATGTGTAGAAACATCCTAAAAAATATTAAAGCTGTAGCTCAAAAACTGTAGGAGGAGATAGCCGGACAAACCATGTATCTATATCCGGACAGACGGATGAAGAGAGGTAAATTAATATGCCCCTTGATTTAATCTAAATACATGTACTTCCTTGTTATAACTACTCATCATATATCCTACATCAATTACTAGCTAATTATCTGCAAGAAGGGATGTAAAATGATGAGCAAATTGTTATTTTCACAGATTTATTTACCTAAATGTCCATCATTAAGTCAACCAGAAGAAAACTCAAATGTCCATTTGCTGTTTTGTTATGTAATTTCTTATTTGCAGTAAAATACCCATAATTCATTTAATCATCTGCTTCATCATTTTGGAAAATATTTTCTATGATCTGTTTATATATAATGCCTGAACCAGTTTAAAAGTATGATCAACAACTGGAATGGTAACTCATGCAAATGTGGCTCCTGCAGATCTAAATAATTTAATTTTTATGTTGACTTTTCCTTGCAGCCTGAAGTAACTAGTTTTGCTTTATCTTTTTCTTTTGCTTTGCTTGTTTGTGCTATGCTTTTATATATGAACATTTTGCTTATGCAATATAGTTGTCTTATTTTGTATGTCTAATGTGTGTGTTTTATATGTCTTAATATTATTAATGGAATATTTTAAGGATTTGTGATTTGTTAAAACTTGATTACATGTACATTTGTATTTACTCAGTTTACATGCCAAAACTGATGTGTTTATATTTTTGTAGATCAAAAACAGCAGATAGCACAGGGAATACAGCATGTTACTAAAAATACATTCTAGAAATCCCCAATTTTACATTGTTTATGCAATAGTTGTTAATTTATAATATGACAGTTGTAGCCTTTGGTTGAACTCAATACAATGTTATATCGACCTAGAGAAGCATATCGACCTCAGACTTTGTCCCCAGTCAATATGCTTCTCTTAGGTCGATATAACTTCATATTGACCTCATACAAGGCTTTTAATTGTATAACATTTTATGTTAATATTGGCAAAAAGCTCAACTGTCGCTTATGTTTGTAATGTTCATGTAAACCTAACTTTAGATAAAATTTTCTATTCTACTCTTTTCCATAACAAATATTGTGATAACCAGCAGCCGGTTGTACGAACATGGCATTAGCCTAATGAGTCATTAAGTCTTCATTAAGCCTTTATGATGCATTAGGCTAATGAAGACTTAATGACTCAATAGACTAATGACACGTTCTTACAACCGGCTGCAGACCAATATGAAAATATATACCTTACAACTTATGTCTTCAATACTTACTCTTTTTGTTTTTTCATTTCCTTCTCATCCTTTTGTTTTTGTTCTTTCTTTTTTTCTGCTTCGATTCTTTCTCTGAGCTCCTTTATAAATTAAAAAAAAAATTGTTTAAGTTCAAAATGAGAGGCAGAAGATACCAAAAGGATATTCAAAGTCATAAATCATGACAAACTGACAACACCATCAATAAACAAGGAACGGCATAAAGACAAACAACAGTATACAAAACTCTTCATAGAAAACTAAAGACTAAGCAACAGGAATCTGACTAAATTAAAGAACCTTAGTGAGCACGCTCACATACCCCACGTCCCAACATTGTCACTGGAGAAATAAAATAAATGTATGAAAAAAAAATTGTATAAGAAAAAAAAATTGAATCATAATTTCCTGTCGATATGCACATCTACATAGTATGTCCTTATTATCTACAAAGTTTCATGAAATTCTGTTGTGTGGTTTCAGAGGAGTTGCGATGACAAACTGTTGCAGAGGTATATTGAAGCAAATAAGTCCAAAGGGGCGTAACTCCTAAAAAAAAATGGAATCATAATTTCCTGTCGATATGCACATCTACCTAGTATGTCCTTATTATCTATAAAGTTTCATGAAATTCTGTTGTGTGGTTTCAGAGGAGATGCGATGACAAACTGTTGAAGAGGTATATTGAAGCAAATAAGTTCAAAGGGGCGTAACTCCTAGAAAAAAAAATTGAATCGTAATTTCCTGTGGATATGCACATCTACGTAGTATGTCTTTATTATCTGAAAAGGTTTCATGAAATTCTATTGTGTGGTTTGAGAGGAGTTGCAATGACAAAAGGTTGCAGTAGTATATTGGGCAAATAAGTTCAAAGGGGCGTAACTCCTGGAAAAAAATTTGAATCGTAATTTCCTGTCAATATGCACATCTACGTAGTATGTCCTTATTATCTACAAAGTTTCATGAAATTTTGTTGTGTGGTTTCAGAGGAGTTGAGATGACAAACTGTTGCAGAAGTACATTAAAGTAAATAAGTTCAATAAGTGGTTTCAGAGGAGTTGAGATGACAAACTGTTGCAGTAGTACATTAAAGTAAATAAGTTCAAAGGGGCGTAACTCCTAGAAAAAAAAAATCAATCATAATTTCCTGTCGATATGCACATCTACCTAGTATGTCCTTATTATCTACAAAGTTTCATGAAATTCTGTTGTGTGGTTTCAGAGGACTTGCGATGACAAACTGTTGCAGAGGTATATTGAAGCAAATAAGTTCAAAGGAGCGTAACTCCTAGAAAAAAAATTGAATCGTAATTTCCTGTCGATATGCACATCTACGTAGTATGGCCTTATTATCTGAAAAGGTTTCATGAAATTCTATTGTGTGGTTTGAGAGGAGTTGCGATGACAAAAGGTTGCAGTAGTATATTGGGCAAATAAGTTCAAAGGGGCGTAACTCCTGGAAAAAAAATTGAATCGTAATTTCCTGTCGATATGCACAACTACATAGTATGTCCTAATTATCTAAAAAGGTTTCGTGAGATTCTGTTGTGTGGTTTGAGAGGAGTTGCGATGACAAGAAACAGGACTGATGGACTGACGGACGGATAGACGGACGAACAGACAGATGGACAGACAGACGGATGGACAGACGGACGGACGGGTCAAAAACATTATACCCTCCGCAACTCGTTGCATGGGGTATAAATATATGAATGATCTCTGAGGTGATTTAAGCCACTAATTGACACTTGAGGTTAACTCGACTAATTTCTTGATCAAGTCAGTACTCATATTCATGATTTTTTGAGGCATTTCATTTATAAGAGAAATTCAATGTACATCTGAGACTTCAATGAATGAAATATTTGCATTACTAAATTTATTTAACAATATTGATACATTTATCATATCATTGATAATTGACAAAAAACATTGAGGAAGTCAAAGCAGGAACTTAAATCGATAAAAGAACAGAGTTCAAATGTCCCCTGCGTTGCACATATTTTATATTTCCAAGGGGCATAACTCTTTTAAAAAAAGTCGATCGTCCACCATTATAAAACTTGTCCGAGATATTGCTGATATTAACCTATAGTATAAGTTTCATAAAAATCTGGAAAGAATTGTACCCTTGAGAGCGCTTACGAGGCCATTTTCCATAAATTTAATATTTCCAAGGGCATAACTCTTTTAAAATAAATTGCTTCGTCGAGAGCAGCTGGATACGACTGCAGAGGTCCAACCCTGAACAGTTGGGGCAAAAATGGACGCAATATTCGTGCTTGATATAGGTCTGAATTTGGATTGTAGTTCAATATTTGACACATAATAGGTTTCTGACACAGAATAACTGTAGTCAAAGAACTTAGAATTGGTAATATGATTTGAATTTATATTCAATTTTTTGCTTTTGTGCAATACACTATGCTGTTGCGAATTGACCTCCCCCCCTCCCCCTAAAAAAATTTTTTTTTTTACCTCCCCCCCCCCCCCCCCCCCCTTCTTTTTCAAAAAATATTTTTTTTACCCCCCTCCAATTTTTTTTAACCTCCCCCTCCCCCCTTTTTTCCCCTTTCCCTCAAGACATGGTCATAATCTCAATTCAAATTTCCAATGGAGTTTGCAACCATAATAACCCATTTAAATACATCATTAAAGTCTTAAAATAGAAAATGACATACATAATCATAGCTAAAATTAATTTACCTTAATCAGCATTTTTAAAATTATTAAAATAGTAACTTCTAAAAATGAATTGACAGCTAATCACCTCAAGACCATTCAACATTTCTTTAAATACATAATTTAAAAGCAGTGTAAGGGAGGTGATTCAAAGTTGTGTTTGAATTACCTCCCTTACACTGTAATTTGTACTTAAGTAATTGTCCATTTTTCCAAGACACCCTTGTTTTTTCTCACTTTTTTGCCCCTAATTCCTAAACGGTTTGAGCCATAACCCCCCAAAGCCAATCCTAACCATCCCTTTGTGGTATAATTTCATAGAGATCCATACACTTTTCCACAAGTTATTGTCATGAAACTAGAAAAATGCTTATTTGGGCCCCTTTTTGGCCCCTAATTCCTAAACAGTTAGGACCATAACCCCCAAAATCAATCCAAACCTTCCTTTTGTGGTTATAGACCTTATGTTTAAATTTCATAGATTTCTATTTACTAATACTAAAGTTATTGTCCGGAAACCAAATGTCTGCTGACGACGACGACGATGACAACGACGTGATACCAATATACGACCGCAAAATATTTTGCGGTCGTATAAAAAGTTGATCGGCCACCATTATAGAACTTGTCTGAGATATTGCTGATATTAACCTATAGTATAAGTTTTATAAAAATCTGGCAAGAATTGTACTCATGAGAGCGCTAACAAGTCAATTTTCCATAAATTTAATATTTCCGAGGGGCATTACTCTTTTTGAAAAAGTCGATCAGCCACCGTTATAGAACTTGTACGAGATATTGCTGATATTAAACTATTGTATATGTTTTATAAATATCTGTCAAGAATTGCCACGCGTTACGCGGGGCACAAAAATGTTATATCAAAACCAACATCTATGGTAATATTATGATTTATAAAGCAAACAAGTCTAGAAATTGCCTTTCAAATCTCTTTTTTATGTGAACTAAAAAACTGTCAATGTCAATTTTTATTGTTTTTTCATAAATTATTAATGCAACTTGGACAGCAAAAACAAATCCCCATATATTTTCATATCTTAACAGAAATGTTTACATTAATAAAACTTTGTTTTTAAACAAAATTCTAAGGAAGGTTTTTAAGAAATCACAATTTAAAGTGAATTTACATACACTCTTTTCATTTTAATATAGACACATTTCATAAATTTTAATTGACTGTATCTCTGGAATTATCAATGCTACATATATCACTTTTTCTATTTTCAGATGCAGTTCAAAATGCATACAAAATTTGATAAAAATCTATATATCTATAAAACTAAAATAACGAGGTCCAATTTGTTAGCCGGCATGATGTTAAAACGACAAATCAAAGATTTCAACTTTATATATAACTAATATAGGACAATGGGGTTGATTAAAAAGTACACCATTCCAAGCAATTTGTTTTCCACATAATTAATATTACCAATAATTAACAAGTTCTGGGTCGAATCAGATACCATATCAATAGTATATGTCACATGTAGTTTCAGGTTGTAGTATGTATGTTTGTTCTGTATCTTCCTCCTTTATTAGGAGCACCACCATAGGTTATGGTGTAAAGGAAGACATTTACAAACATTGGTACAGATTTAATGTGAGCATTTAGAGTAGAAAGAAATTCAGGACGGGTTCAAACGGATAGATTTTGAAAGCAGAGAAAAACTGTGCACCTTATTATCAGCATGACGTTATCAGATGACAATATGAATACTAAAAATCCAGGCTGAAAAATAGAGTAATATTGAAATCTGATCATTAATATTCCAAATGGGCAATCGCCTCACCAAAAAGGTTATTCTGCTATAAGATACCCTTAAACTACTTTGAATGAAGGTTTAAAAGTATATAGTTGGTATAATTCAGGTTTTCAATGCAAGTGTCATAATAACGACAACACATATCATGGGAGAAATCCTCCATTAATTTGGAAATTTGACCTCTGTGACCATGTGCACAATAGATAATTATTCATTTTTGAATAGAACTAAGAAATTTGCCATTTCAGGGATCAAATAATGGCTCACATTTTCTCCTTTAGACTGGGATTTCATAAGAAAATAGACATTATCTTTATCATAGTTTATCATAAGAAAATAGACATTATCCTGGCAAGAACAAAATTACACGAAAACTCAGTTGACTTTGGCATAATGATACCAAAAATTAATTGACCACTATCAAGTGAAACTTACAGCTAATTCTTCCTTTTCCCTGTTAAGCTCCTGTAGCCATATTGGTTCCACTTCAATTCTTTCTGAAATAAAAAGAACAAATAATGAAATATATTAGGCATGTTCTTTTAGAAAACAATTTTACATCAAGTTTATCATAGGAATTCAAAGAAAAAAGCATCAAAACTGGACTTGAAATAATATAAATTTCTTAGGAGCCTGTTGTAGTGTAGTGACTGTAAGTGCAATGCACAATGCAAAATCGTGTTGAGAGGTAAATGAAAATAAATGGAGAATGTGTCCATGGGACACAGACAGATAATGCCTCCACTTGCATATAACATTATAAAGAGACATAACTCAAGAACAGTAAAAGTGACACCACCCAAATTGGAACTTGACCTGAGTATTGTGGTAATAACCATTGTGTATAAGTTTCAAAGCATTTGGTTGAGGCAAACTAAAGTTATAGGATGGAAACAAAAATTCAGCAATTTTTCCATATATAAAGGGGCATAACACCAGAACGGTAGAAGTAACGCCACCTAAATTCGAACTTGATCTGTGTTTTGTGATAATAAGCATTGTGTATAAGTTTTATAACATTTGGTTGAGGCAAACTAAAGTTAAGAGAATGGAAACAAATTTTGGGATGTAAATATGTATGTCATATGGACGGACATACTGACGGACATACAGACAGGGGTAACACTTAACGCCCCTCCGGTGATGGCAGGGGCATAAAAAATCCCACACAGGAAAGTTTTTCACCATAAACTGAATGAACGAACAAGAAGCTCCTAATTGCCTAAATTGCTCACCTTGAATTTTTTGTGTAGACCTTGCATCAATGGCTATTTTGCTGTTTTATGTATATTGATGCATGTCTAAACATGCCATTTAAGTTTCTCTCTATCAATTATAGTTTCTGTAAAACACTTTAAAAATTGGTAAAAATGATCTTGCGAGGGCATAACTCCTATAAGGAATCAATTGATGATTTCAGTCATGTTCACTTATTTGTAGGTCTTACTTTGCTGAGCATTTCTGCCAAGTAATGTTTCTCTCTATCCATCTATAAATCGTCAATATCGAACTTGACCTCCATTTTATCATTGGTATCATCATATTAAAATTTGAAAAGCATTGGTTGAATGGTTCAGAAGTTATTGTTCGGAAACTGTTGGCAAACAATGACTGTTGGTTTTTATGAGCCCAATTATAATAAAATGCTCCGCTGGGCGCAGCTTGATATGACCGCAGAGGTCGAACCCTGAACAGTTGGGGCAAGTATGGACACAACATTCAAGCTTGATACAGCACTGAATTTGGATTGTGATAAAATATTTGACACAGCATAGGTTTCTGACACAGAATGAATGTGGTCTAAGAACTTAAAAATTTTTAATTTACCTATTCAAACCATATCATTTTTATTTGCTTTTATATATAAATCAGAAATAACCAATTTAAAATGGAAAATTTAAAAGAAAAAAAAAAAGGAAAAAGAGGAAAAAAAAATCCCTCCCCCAAATTTTTTGAACCCCCTTATGATTCATCACCCCCAATCTCAATCCCAGCCTTCCCTTTGTGGTATGGTACCTTGCAGTACAATTTCAGAGAGATCCATACACTTGAACACAAGTTATTGTCTGGAAACTAGAAAAATGCTTGTTTTTAGGCCCCTTTTTGGGCCCCAAATTCCTAAACGTTTTGGGCAATTACCCCAAAACTCAAACCCAGCTTTCCTCTTGTGAAATGGAACCTTGTAGTACAATTTCATAAAGATACATACACTTACACATAAGTTATTGTCCTGAAACTAGAAAAATGCTTGTTTTTTGCCCCTTTTTGGACCCTAATTCCTAAAATTTTGAGGCAATTACCCCCAAAATCAATCCCAGTCTTCCCTTTGTGGAATGGTACTTTGCAGTACAATTTCAGAGAGATCTATACACTTGAACACAAGTTATTGTGAAACTAGAAAAATGCTTGTTTTTAGGCCCCTTTTTGGCCCCAAATTTCTAAACTTTTAGGGCAATTACCCCAAAACTCAAACCCAGCTTTCCCTTTGTAATATGGAACCTTGTAGTACAATTTCATAAAGATCCATACAGTTACACACAAGTGATTGTCCTGAAACTAGAAAAATGCTTGTTTTTTGACCCTTTTTGGCCCTAATTCCTAAAATTTTAAGGCAATTACCGGTACCCCCCAAAATCAATCCCAGTCTTCCCTTTGTGGTATGGTACCTTGCAGTACAATTTCAAAGAGATCCATACACTTGAACACAAGTTATTGTCTGGAAACTAGAAAAATGCTTATTTTTGGCCCATTTTTGGCCCCTTATTCCTAAACGTTTTGGGCAATTACCCCCAAACTCAATTCCAGCTTTCACTTTGTGATATGGAACCTTGTAGTACAATTTCATAAAGATCCATACATTTACACACAAGTTATTGTCATGAAACTAGAAAAATGCTTGTTTTTTGCCCCTTTTTTTGCCCCTAGTTCCTAAAATTTTGAGGCAATTACCCCCAAAATCAATCCCAGCATTCCCTTTGTGATATGAAACCTTGTGGTACAATGTCAGAGAGATCCATACACTAACACACAAGTTATGTCTGGAAGTTACAAAAATGATTTTTTTTGGCCCCTTTTTGGCCCCTTATTCCTTAAATGTTGGTACCATAACCCCCAAAATCAACCCCAACCTTCCTTTTGTGGTATTGAACCTTATGGTAAAATTTCATAGAGATCCATTCACTTAAACTAAAGTTAGAGTGTGAAAACCAATGTGTCTTCGGACGACAACGACGACGCCAACGTCATACCAATATATGACCGCAAAATTTTTTTGCGGTCGTATAAAAATGCGCTCCACCTGGAGCAGCTGGATACGACCGCAGAGGTGGAACTCTGAACAGTTGGGGCAAGTATGGACTCAATATTCAAGCTTGATACAGCTCTGAATTTGGATAGTAATTAAATATTTGACACATTATAGATTTCTGACACAGAATAAATGTGGTCAGATAACTTAAAAATTTGAAACTGGACATTTAATCCACTTCAATGTCCAATATCTATAATATATTTCCATGGTTAGATTCAGCATAAAAAAAAAACAACCATGAATTCAAACAAAGTTTAATTTTGGACCCTTTGGACCTTAATATGGACTAATTTGCAAACAGGGCCCAAAGTAAAAAATCTGAATGCACAGTTAGATTCAGCATATCATAGAACCACAAGAATTCAGTTTTTGATGAAATCAAACAACGTCTAATTTTGGACCCTTTGTACCTCAATGTAGACTTATTTGAAAATGTCCAAATAACCAATATAGTAATACATGGTAAAAACCTCAAACAATTCAAGACTTTAAATTAATATTCATTGAAATTGGTTAAAAGATTTGTATTTATTTTCAATTGAAGATTTCTTGCTGTTGTGCAATACTTTGTAAATCTATTTACAAACTAAATATAATTTACACACCCTGTTTGGTGTGTATCTCCTGCCATATCAGTGTTTGTTGTTTCTTTATATAGTTCAGAAATAATTTATTTTAGAACCAGCTTAGCCAGTATTAGAAAAGTCTTGTTTTTGGCCTCTATTTGGCCTCTAGTTTCTTAACGATTAAAGCTACAACCAACAAAATTGACCCCAACCTTCTGTTCGTGGTATGGAACCTTGTGGTACAATTTCATAGAGATCCATTGACTAATACTTAAGTATTTATCCGGAAACTAGAAAAACCTTGTTCCTCCCCTCTCCTTTTTGCCCCTTATTCCTGAATGGTTTGAGCCATAACCCCCAAAGTCAAACCCAACCTTCCCTTTGTGGTATGGAACCTTGTGTTTCAATTTCATAGAGATCCATAGACTAATACTTAAGTAATTGTCCATTAACCAGAAAAACCTTGTTTTTTCCCCCTTCTTTTGCCCCTAATTCCTGAAGAGTTTGGGCTATAACCCCCAAAGTTGATCCCAACCTTATTGTTGTGGTATGGAACCTTGTGGTACAATTTCATAGAGATCCATACACGTATACACAAATAATTGTCCAGAAACTAGAAAAATGCCTTTTTTGGCCCCTTTTTGACCCCTTTTTGCTAAACAGTTGGGACCATAACCCCCAAAATCAATCCCAACCTTCCTTTTGTGCTTTTGAACCTTGTGATTAAATTTCATAGAGATCCATTTACTTATACTAAAGTTATTGTCCGGAAACCAAATGTCTTCGGACAACCACTAAGAGGACAACAACATGATAGCAATATACGAACGCAAATTTTTTTGCGGTTGTATATAAAGGGGCCCTTTGACAGCTTGCAATAGCTTATATAGGAAGAATAAAGGACTCTACTGTCATCATAATATCATTCCCTTGACCATGATATTGTCAGTTTGATGTGACAATTTTTACTGGAGATATGGGTCTTTGACCAATCTTTTTTTTGAGAATTATAACAGTGAAGGAAACTTGAACTTAAATGACCATACTTTTGCCTTCTGGCCAGTCTACAGCTTCCATTCCACCTTTAGCAGGCATTACATCAAATTCATAATCTACACCATATCTATAATCTTCTTCTTTCCCTGGCTCATTTGCTCCTGGCACTGAATCCCATCTCACTTTTATCCAACCTATAAATATGCAATAAAGTACAGGCTGTTATATAAAGTCATCATCTGGAGTATTTGTTTGTGATTATTTAGTTTAAGATTTCCATATTGATCTATATTTTAAATTGGATATTTTTATGGTAATACCAAATCATAAACAGGTTCTCAATATGTCATGAGGACAAACAAAAGAAAACATAAGATGGAAGAACAGCAAAAGTTTAATACATTGTCAATTTCAAAATATTTTTTTAGCAAATAGTGAGCTCATGTTATTAATAAATGTATTCTATAACAAAACAAAAACAAACAAGAATGTGTCCTTAGTACACGGATGCCCACTCTCACAATCATTTTCTATGTTCAGTGGACCGTGAAACTGGGGTTAAAACTCTAATTTGGCATTAAAATTAGAAAGATCATATCACAGGGAACCAGGGCTTCCAAAACGGTCATATATTCCAGACTTGACCGAAACTTTCATAAAAAGACCGGCTGTTCTCAGCCTCAAACGGTCAAATAGAATTGGTGTGCCACATTTTGTTATTCAAGGCATTTTCATGAAACGGTCATTTCAATTTTTACCAACTATCGATCGATAAAAATGTCCGTTTGGGGCTTTGGGCATGTCCGTTTGGGCATTTTAGTTTATAATTGTGGCAATCTATTTCGGTCATAATTGGGTTTAATAAAACAGAAGCAGCATATTTCAGATACTTTGAAGTGTCTCAGTTAGTCTAATCCTCTGGGTACATAAATGTACGGCTTGGTCTTTAGCTTGTGTACATCAATAAAAAGTAGAAAAAACACGTTTTCTTTTATTTAAACAACAACAAGCTGTCAAACAATTATCCCTTCAATAAGTTATATTGAAGCCATAAATCATTCACTGATTACAGGTTTGTTACCTTTGATGAGGTGTCCTTAGCTTGTCTTTATCAATAGAATTAATGATGCATAACAATGTACATAAAGGTAATCAGGTAAACGAGGTCAAACATGTAAGCGTGTATGGAACAACATCCTATTTAATTAAGCTTTACAAATATTATTTAAATGAGCATTCAGTTTTAAAAAGTATCCTGATATTTAAAAGTTATTCTTCAAATAAGGATATTTGTAAATGAATAAGTATGATATATATTGTTTTATTTAACACTGTACATCGTGTTAAATACTGGGGTACTCTCAAGGGGAAAATTTACTAAAATATATAGGAAAAACTATACCAAGCTGAGTTGTCCAATAAATAAGGGGGGCGTTCTCTATTCTTGTTTTCATATTAAAAACTGTTTTTATAATTAAAATCATAAAGAATAATATCCAATCATGACAATCTCCGACTGTTATAAAGACTTTGTCTCAAATTGAACTTTCCAAATCTGCCATCATGGGCAAACGTAAACGTGACGATTCCGATCAAAATTCGAAATCTGCTAAAAATGCTAGAAGCTTTATTCATAAATGGTAACAACTGTTTTTATGGTTAAGATTTGACAGTATGCTAAATGCCATGTTTTGTGACATTTGTCAAAAACATAAACTTAAAAATAACTTTGTAAAGCCTGGTTCGACAAATTTTCGAAAGTCAGCCGTTGTAGAGCATGCTAATAGCAATGACCACATTCAAGCTCTTAAATTAGAGACAGCTTCCAAAAGTAATCCAATTGTATCAGTATTTGAGAAAGTTCATGAAAAGACTGACAACGGCGCAATGTGCACCTTGTTCCGTAATGCTTACTTTATTGCTAAAGAAAACTTACCAATGGACAAATTTCAGTCAATAAATGATTTAACTAAGTTAAATGGTGCCGTGATCACTTCTAAATTATATCAAGAGAACAATGCCTCCTCCGAATTTATTCAGACAATTTCCGATGTTATAGAGAAAGAGGTGATGTCCGACGTAAAGTTAAGTCCCGCCGTGGGAATTATGATCGACGAGTCAACTGATCTGGCTACGCAAAAACATTTAATTTTGTACTTATCATTGTACAAAGAAAAATGTTATCACTGTTCAGTAGATTTTACACGGTTTAAAACAATATCCTTCATTGGGCCTCCTCAATGTTATCTATAAATACCGCATCAGTTGTAAAAGTCACGTGGTCAGGTAATCAATACACAAAAAGAAAAGTATCACGTGTATTGATGATCAAGTTGTACTGCAATTAAAGCCAACATCAACAGTTTCAAATAAGATGGCCTTAATTTACAAATTGTTAAGTACTCACAGAGAGAAGATAGATTATATAAACAGAAAAAAAACATGAGAACAGTCAGGTACTGAAGCTGATTGATGCAACGATGGTTACTGTATTACGATACACAGAAAATGACACAATACCGAGGATAATATTTTATTTATTTTTAGAATGAAGAAAACAAAACAGTTATAAATAATTTTATTGCATATAACACTACTAATTATTAAGACACATATATCAATTTATGCATCCTCTCAGTTACATTTAAGTATCCAGCTGATCATTGACCGTCAAAAATATTTCTTTGAAAAATGTCCGGCAGTCGTCAGGAAATTTTGGAAGCCCTGCACGGAACATGTGTACTAAGTTTCAAATTGATTGGAATTCAACTTCATCAAAAACTACCTTGACCAAAAACTTTAACCTGAAGTGGGACAGATGGACGAACATTAATGAACGGACGCACAGACCGAAAAACATAATGCCCCTCTACTATCGTAGGTGGGGCATAAAAAATGCAAATTTCAATATGAACAATGCTCAAAATTTTGTCAGAAATCAACTTTTTATGATTAAATCAGTGTTTATATTGAACAGATTGAAAATATATTATTGATATTGAATAAATACAAAATCACATGCAGTTTTTTTGCGTTGAAACATGTATTTTCATCTATTTAGAAGATAATTTTTTTACTCAGGTAAATTAATCAAAGAGTGATGGATTTCTCTTAGAAGAAATTTAAGTGTCCCAGTGAATAAACTACACAGAGAACAATAGCTATTGTATTTATTCAATGGGACAATAGAACTGACAAAAGTTTAAATAGATTGACCAATAGGAGATGAATCTGTGGAAAAGTTTCATTTGGTTCTTAAACTAAAGATTTCAAGAGTGTCTCATTATACATAATCAACAGTTCTCTCACAATATTTTCATGGTTCTTCTATGTTTTCCACTCACAAATTTATGACTTGATCATATTAGTCTTTTATTAAGTCAGAAATGAGCTAATTAAGAATTCTTTTGATTATTTTGAAACAGTTCTATGAAGTGGACTACCAATACAAAATGTGCAATCTGGAATATACCTTTACTTTTAAATAAACTATCAAGAAGTTCTAGACACAATCTTTATAATTTGATCATACATATTGGTAACTGATTTTAGAATGTACTATTTTATATGTAGATAATTTTTTTTTCATTATATGGCTATAAAATTTCTCTTTGTCTCATTGGCTTAATATAAGATTTTCAAAATCTCATGTTAACCTAAATAGTTATTTCTAGGCAAAGTCAATCACATAGGTTTACGACATTGTGCAAGTTCTTGTTTTTCCTCTTACTTTTATTGGTTGTAAAGTTTTTTTAATACATTTTATTGAGTATACAACTTTTTAAAGTTAGCAATTGCCAAAGCAGAAAATATATTTATCGAACTCTCAGGCAGATAAGAGCCTGCATATGGTACTGAAATTTGTCTATGACTGAACCATTTTAAGACAATTTTTATCAATACAACTCCTCGAAATAAAGTATAATAAATGAGGACAATGTGAATATCATATAAAGTTATAAAGGGACATAACTAAAGAACGGTAAAAGTATCGCTACCAAAATTAGTACTTGATCTGAGTTTTGTGGTAATAAGTATTGTGTATAAGTCTCATAATATTTGGTTGCGCCTAACATAAGTTAGAGACAGAAACTAAAAATTCAGCAATTTTTCCATTTGTAAACAGGCATAACTCTAGAATGGTAAAAGTGACACCTCCAAACTTCAGCTTGATCTGTACTTTGTGGTAATGAGCATTGTGTATAAGTTTCATAACATTTGGTTGAGGCAAACTAAAGTTAGAGAACAGAAACGAAAAATTCAGCAATTTTTATGTTTATAAAGGGGCATAACTCAAGACCGGTAAAAGTGACACCACCCAATTTCAAACTTAATCTGTATTATGTCATAATAAGCATTGTGAATATGTTTCATAACATTTGGTTGAGGCAAACTAAAGTTAGAGAATGGAAACGAAAAATTCAGCAATTTTTCCATTTGTAAAGAGGCATAACTCTAGAACGGTTATAGTGACACCACCAAAATTCAAACTTGATCTGTGTTTTGTGGTAATAAGCATTTTGTATAAGTTTCATAACATTTGGTTAAAGAAAACTAAAGTTAGAGAAAGGAAACCAACTTTGGGAGGTACGTACGTACGTACAGGCGGACAAGATTAAAACTTAATGCCCCCTCCGCTACAGCGGGGGCATAACAAAGAAAACCTAAATGTTTGTAGGCAGGATGCTTGCTTATCCAAAATAATATAATGGTTAACATTGTTAAAGTAGACTTTAAAAGTTTTTTTTTACCTCTCACGAAGAAGTTATATATTGGTAAGCATTCTGATATAAGAGGTATATTTACAGCTAAAACTGTTCAACTAAATTCAGTTTAACACACTTGTAATTGTAAAATGGTGTAATCTAAACACCTGGTTCACACCCTTACCAAGATCTTCTGGATCAATGCTGACTACTGTCCCTTCTATGCCATCAGGTATATCATTCTTCTGCCACATCCAATCAGGTCCTTTTATCACTTTGGTGCCAAATTCTGGCATAATTGGTAGATTGTCTATTTTAGGTGGACCACCACCATAATATTCTAAAAGTTCTTCTATTTTCTGTTTTGTCAATGGATCATTCTCTGCATCCTCTTCGTCGCCTTGAATTAAATATATATATATATAATTCAATAACAGCCATATTAATAGTACCCGGTCATTTAGTTGGTTCCTTAGTAATTTACCAAATTTGGATATATATTTTGCATCAAATTACATTTTATAATAAATGCTTCGCTGGGCGCAGCTTGATACGACCGCAGAGGTCGAACTCTGAACAGTTGGGGCAAGTGTGGACACAACATTCAAGCTTGATACAGCTCTGAATTTGGATTGTAATTAAATATTTGACACAGCATAGGTTTCTGACACAGAAAGAATGTGGTCTAAGAACTTGAATTTTTTTTAATTTACCTATTATGGTCCAATGTCCAAAATCAAAATACATGGTTAGATTCAGCAATTTTTGTTAAAATCAAACTAAGTTTAATTTTGGACCCTTTGGACCTTAATGTAGACCAATTTAACAAACGGGACCAAAAATTAAAAATCTAAATACACAGTTCAATTTTTGATGAAATCAAACAAAGTTTAATTTTGGACCCTTTTGACCTCAATATGAACCAATTTGATAGCGGGGCCCTCAAATAAAAAATCTAAATACATGGTTAGATTCAGCATATCAAAGAATCCCATATATTAAATTTTTGTTGAAATAAAAAAAAGTTTAATTTTGGACCCTTTGGACCTTAATGTAGACTAATTTAAAAAACAGGACCCAAAATTAAAAATCTAAATACACGGTTAGATTTGGAATATCAAAGAACCCCAATAATTCAATTTTTGTTAAAATCAAACTAAGTTTAATTTTGGACCCTTTGGACCTTAATGTAGACCAATTTGAAAACTGGAGCCAAAATTAAAAATCTAAATACACGGTTAGATTCGGCATAACAAATAAATAAATGTGGTGAGAGATTTTACAAATCTAATGCGCCATACTGTGCAATTAAAGATTACTTCTTGAAATTTTTCAATATTTGAAATTTGAAAAAAAAAAATATTTGAAGAATAATTCTTTTTAATTTCTGAAATCTGAAATGAGAAAAAATTGACCCCCCACAATTTCTTTTTACCCCCCACCCCCCTTTTTTCCCCAAAAAAATTCTTTTCCTCAAGATATGGTCATAATCTCAGTGCTAACTTAATCTATTTTATAATAATCTAATTTTGGATGTAACGCGTCTTCTGATTGGCTGACGTTGTTTTGTTTATCAGCTCATAGACATAATTTTGTCATGTGACCGTGACGTCATCAATGTTTTTTCATGGTTTACTCAGGTTTAAAATGGAATTTAGAATTAAATTATAAGAAATTACTGTAATATTTTTTCTGTCTATTCGAAATAACATAAAAAATGTGGTGCACACTTTAAAATAACCCGCTACGCGGGTTATTCAGTGTGCACCACATTTTTGATGTTATTTCTTCATAGACAGAAAAAATATTACAGTCATTCCTTAAATAGAATTTAAAATATAGGGTCAAATCTTTCATATGGATTTTTTTGTAAAAAAAAAAGATTCAACATTTGCAGATATTTTTACTGGTCTTCCTTTATAAATATGCATTTCTTTAAACATAATTTAAAAGCAGTGTAAGGGAAGTAACCAAAATCCTAACCATCCCTTTGTGGTATGGAAACTTGTAGTATAATTACAGAGAGATCCATACACCGTTCAACAGTTATTGTCTGGAAACTAGAAAATGCTTATTTTTGGCCCCTAATTCCTTAACTGTTGGTACCATAACCCCCAAAATCAATCCCAACCTTCCTTTTGTGGTATTTAACCTTATGGTAAAATTTCAAAGAGATCCATTCACTTAAACTAAAGTTAGAGTGCGAAAACCAATGTGTCTTCGGACAACAACGACGCCGGACACCGACGACGACGTCATACCAATATACGACTACAAAATTTTTTTGCGGTCGTATAAAAAGAGTATTGTAAATAATTTATTTTTTATTGGATTCTGAGAAAAACAATTTTTTATTGACTTTAATTCACTAATTTTTTTTCCAAATAAACAACTAGGCTAATTTACACTAAACTAGAATCATCACATATTGGTCTGATAAATATTGTGCCATCTGCCTCTTGAGAACATGGCTTTACATTATTTCTACATGTACTAAAATTGTCGCAGTGTAGATGCCAAGTGAGCAATACAGGTTTGTTTGAATATCAATCAAAAACTTTCTGTCTTTAATGTCTTACAGAGTAGTTATCAAATAATAATGGACACTGCTAATCAAATGTTCTAATAAGAGAAAGGTCAATTCTTTTGAAGATGAAGATGAGGAATTTGCAGCAAAGAATAGGATTTTTCTATTCAGAGGAATGATGCTAAAACGTCGGAATAAATGTCTTTGATTCCTTGCCCTATCCTCTCTTTCAGTCGAATTATTGGCTAATATGGATAAAACCCAGAGAGGCATACATTTATAAGGACATACCAAACTGATCATGCACAGATTTATTTGTGTATCTAAATTACCCTTTCACTTTTAGAAGGATCAATCACGATCGATGTAAGCATTTAAAAAGATCAATTAAAAAAAGATCGATCTCGATAAACTTTTTATGTCTGGTTGAAGATCGATCCTTTCTGTTTACATTAGACTAAAGATCTATTTTTTTCTGCTAGTGTAAATGTGGTCTAATTTCAATATTTCTAGAAATTCTATTCAAAATAATTTTGACTATTTTGGAATGGCAAATAGTCTTGCAGAGTTGGTGGACCATTTGGGCCATGATGACTGATTTTTTAGATTTTATAATGCTGAACATTTTTGCTTTTTTTTTTTACAGTTTCTCTTTATCTATCATACTTTGTGTGCAAAAACTGCAAAAATGGAAAAAAAAATTGTCTTTCAAGGCAATAACTCCTATAAGTGGTCAATTGACAATTACGGCCTAGACATTATTTTACCGAACACTTTTGCTTTTTACAATTTCTATTATGTTTCTGCAAAAAATTAGCAAAATTAGTCTTTCAAGGGCAATAACTTCTATAAAGGGTCAATTGAAGATTTGTCCAGGTTGACTACCTACACGAAATGTGACACCTGTAAATCACATGGAAACCAAGTGTAAAATTCATACCTTAACCTAGCGTCATTGCAATATTTAGAGAATGCATGTCCAAGGGTCAACCAGGTATAAACTAAGTGTAAATGAGGAGGAAACCAGATGTAAAATTAGGTGTAATATTTAAATGAGTACACATGGTCAACCAGGCATAATTTGCAAATGAGTATGTTTGATCAAAACAAATACAGGTGTAATATGGGCAATAACTCCTATTAGTTGTCTGACATTTATGATGTCATTCTGAACATTTCTGCCTTTGTTATATTTTCTCTATCCATAGTGGTTTTCAAGTTACTAGACAAAACTTACATTTTGCCCCTTTGTTCTGTTTTTAGCCATGTTGGCCATGTTGGTTGGCAAGTGGGGTCATAATACACATTTTTTAAACAAGATTACCCAATCATGATTGTGGCCAAGTTTGGCCCAGTAGTTTCAGAGGGGAAGATTTTTGTAAAAATTAATGGACTACATGATAAGACAACTGAGTCAAGTGATGAGAAAGATCACCTAGCCCTGAGGGGCCAGGTGACCAAAACATTTCTAAATGGCAAAAATCATCAGTCAACTCCTTATTGGAGTTATTGCCCTTTAATGATGGTTTTTACAATTTTTTTTTTACATTTCACCTTTTATCTAAAATAAACTGTTGAATTGCCTGTTGGCAGAAAATTGGAAGAAAGACCATCTGATGGACAGCAACATTGTTAATTAATTTAAAGACACTGGACCATGACCGTGGGGCAGGGACTTGAAATAGTCGTCAACTGATATGTACTGATAGTAATGCAACTTTATAAAAAATATCATTAATCTATCATAAGTAGTTAATATCAATCTGACTTAAACAGAAGACTTAATATTGGAAAGTGCTTATTAATTCAAAGACACCAGACCATGACCTAGGGGGCAGGGCCTCTATATAGTTGTAAAACTGATCTATACTGATAGTAATGAAACTTTATACAAATTATCATTTATCTTTTACAACCAGTTCCTATCAAACTGACTTAAGCAGAAAAATTAACATTGAAAATTACTAATAAATTTAAAGTAGCTGGACCATGACGTAGGATGCATGGCCTCTAAATAGTCATCGAACTGATAATTCCTATCAAACTAACTTAAGCAGAAAACTTAACATTGAATTTGGAAATTGCTTATCAATTCAAAGACACTGGACCATGACCTAGGGGGCGGGGCCTCAAAATAGTAATCCAACTGATATGTACTGATAGTAATGCAACTTTAAACAAAATATCATTGACCTATCACAAGTAGTTCCTATCAAACTGACTTAAGCAGAAAATTTAACATTGAAAATTGCTAGTTAATTCAAAGTCACTGGACCATGACCTAGGGGGCAGGGCCTTGAAATAGTCATCAAACTGATATGTAATGTAATGCAACTTTATACAAAATATCATTGATTTATCACAAGGTACCGATAATGCCAATTATCTTGTAAACTATAACAGACATTTTAAAAAGCAAAAATAATCAGCAGTACAAGATCTACAGATATGTCAGCATGGCCAAAATTGTCATGTCAACTCCTTTTAGGAGTTATTGCCCTTCAGAGATGAATTTTACCTATTTTCTATTTTGGCAAAAATTTCTGGGGATAAAGAAAAACTGTAAAGATGCAAAAATATTCAGCAAGACAAGAACTACAAATATTTCAACATATCTGAAATTGTGAGTTTACACCTTATTCATGTAGATGTTGCCTATAAATGAATATTTCCCGCCTTTTTTTCATTTTAGGCAAACGTGATAAAAAATCGATAGAAACTGTAAAAAATCTTTAAAAAATTCAGCAAAACATGATCAACAAAAAAAGAGTATTGAACTATACTCTAGTTTACAATGTTGGACAGTGGCAATTGTTGAAGATGTACATAGATCCAAGTGAGTGACACAGACTCATTATAGCCTTTAGTTTTCAGCATCATAGAATGTTTCTGTTCCCCAACTTTTAAACAAATTGATTTATACTGAATTAAATGCATGCTTATAAAACTAAAGAGATTTGGTATGATTGCCAATGAGACAACTATCCACCAAAGTTCAAATGAAGTGGATGTAAGTAAATTGCATGCTTACCTACATAATCATCGTCATGATAGAACATAAAGGGGAATATTAGGTATTTCCTTTTTATTTTACAGTTTTTGGTGTCTGTTATCGTAAGATGAAAGAAATATATATGTTACTTTTATCAGTTTACTACCAGAGCCTGTGATGGCCAATTTAGCAAAAAAAAAGTAATGTTTACCTTGAAAATGAAGAAAATATTTTTTATCAAAAATTAATGTTAGGATCTCCACCGATACATCTCATTTGTGATTTTAACACACCCCACTATCTGCATTCTTTCAACTGTGAGTTTACAATGTGGAATCTTTTGAAATTTGTATATCCTGAAATGGTTTATATATGCTTAACTTTACATACCCAATAACCCTGGAAGACGAAAGAGCAAATCTGTTTCTTCATCGTCTTCTTCCTCCTCATCATCATCATCACTATCTATACCTAGTAATTCTTCTAGACTTTTTCTTCCACTCTTCCTTGCTTTATTTTTCTTCTTTGGATCTTCAGGAAGTGGGGGTGGGTTCTCTCCCCTTTCTATTGCTTCAGCTCTATCTATCTGGTCTTGTAATCTCTCTGTTGGAGTTTGTAAAAAGAAATATCTTTAAAGCTTGTCATAAGAAAGGCTTTTAACTCCAACAACTGTTCATACTTGCCTGGCTGCACAGTTTATTTAATTAAAAATTAATTAAACATTTAAAACAACTTTTATCACAAAGATGAACATCAGAGGATTATAGTCTGTAGGTTCAGAAATTATTGCGGGTTTATCATTATTGCAATTAATGCAACTGGGTGAGTATCACAATAATAAGAACTGGCATTCTGAAATCTGATACATATATTTGTATGCAGCTATTCCTGTATTTGCAATAATTATTCTCACATTTTGGTCTGTCATGTCTAAATTGTAAAAATAAATGCATGGAATAATTTCAGAATTTACAGTAGTAATCAAGCATGAAGCATGTACCAACCCCACAACATGACACAAAAAAGGTACTACCTATACAAGAAAGATTAAAAGGAATAACAAGCATTCATGGCAATACATAGTCCCCTACTAATTAAAAATTAATTGTACTGGAAAAATATGCTAACTTGATCTATAAATTGTCATGGTGTAAACTATATAACAAATATCAAGTCAATATCTTCAAGCATGATGACAAAATTGTGGAAAACGGATTATTTAAGTGAATTGTCTAAGTCCAAGGACCATAACTCTGCGCAAAAACATCAGACTGAAAAAAAATTGAACTTGGTCTGTTACTTGTTATGATAAAACTATTAAACCAATTATCATATCAATATCTTCAAGCATGACGAAAAAAAGTGTGGAAAACTGATTATTTGAGTGAATTTTCTTAGTCCAAGGACCATAACTCTGCACAAAATTATCAGACCGGAACAAAATTCGAACTTGATCTATAACTTGTCATGATAAAACAATGTACCAATTATTTTATTAATATCTTCAAGCATGACGAAAAAAAGTGCGGAAAACTGAATATTTGAGTGAATTTTCTAAGTCCAAGGACCATAACTCTGCACAAAATTATCAGACCAAAACAAAATTAGAACTTGATCTGTTACTTATCATTATAAAACAATATACCAAATATCAAATCAATATCTTCAAGCATGAAGAAAAAAGTCTGGAAAACTGATTTGCCGGACTGACGGATGGACAGACAGACTGACAGACGGACGGAGTGCAAACCTAAAGTTCCCTTCGACTTCGTCGGTAGGGGACTAAAAATTAGCTAAGAATTTTAACAACACTGGAACTGCAAACTGGAAAATCCTCAAAATTGAAAGGTAGCATTTTGCTTTATCAGATATGACATTAACAAAAAATTTGATTTATGTCTGAAAGCTTCGTGCTGATGTGGTTTGTTGTTGTTTGGTTGCTGTTTTAATTACACATACCTTACATTTCTTTGTACATGTATTCATATACACAAACAAACTGTCTAGTTTTCAACAATTTATGTTTTATGACTATTTTTTAAAATTATGAAAATCAAAAAATAGCTTGTCTATATAAAGCCTAATATTAGTAAAAATTCATTAAGATTAGTGAAAGCATACTTTGAATATGTGGGTCTACGATATTCTGATCAATGTCTTATAACTCATGAACAACTAGTCTTTAAACCATTAGAATCAAAAGCTAAACACCAGTCTTCTACAGACATTTAAGTATATATATATATCACTTCTGGTGATCCGATGGATAAAATCTGTTGTAGTCGTCACTGGTTCAGAGGTACTTATAATATAATTATTTCTGGGACTGCATCTTACATTAATTTGTAGGATCCTTTACAATAGATAATTCAGCTGATCTGTAACAATTCCATCTTCATGCCTTATATATCATGTACTGTGTTACGATGCTAGATAAAAACTGACGAGGAAAGGTAACACCCAGCCACCGAAAGCTTTATTATTATAGAGCCTAGGTGGTCAAGTGGTCTAGCGCGTCGGGCATAGTGCAAGGCGATTTGGTGCCACGATATCTCAGTAGCATGAGTTCGAATCCAGGCCAGGGAAGAACAAAAAATTTGCTTCCGCAAATCTACAGATTTAACATTATTGTGCTGATATTTAGAGTAATTATGTATATAATATGTGTTTTCATCCATGTATCACCTTCACTGGTGATCCAATGGATGGGTCTGTCGTTAAGTTGTCACTTGTTTAGACGTACAGGTTCCAGCCCCGCTCGGGGAGGCAGTAAAGAATCAGATCTAACTCTAACATTGTTAGCTTAATTTCTAGGCACTTTATATATATATAAATACACAATTATCAATCACAATTTTTTTTAAGATATTTTAAATCAAATCTACTATATTTATTATTAAAGTACAAAGATTTAATGCCTATAATTTAGCAAATTGGAGAAATTATGAAATCTTTTCATTCTATGGCTAAATTGACACCAAATTGTACCATCTGTGTGTGTTTTGATGTATCGAATATTTCCTAAAACATCTGACAGTTTGTAAGAGAAAAAGAGGAATAATGAATATAATCTTACTTTCCCTTCTCTGCCTCTTAGTTAAAGCAGGCCTTTGCAGTTTCTCCTTGAACCTCTTAATCACAAATTCCTGGAAGAAGAAATAAGTAATTCTAATCACTGAGTGACATAGAATTCTGATGCTTCCATACTTAAATATAATGTGCTGCAATGATGATTTAAGGTAGATCAGGTATCTTCTGCAATCTTGGATTGTGAAATACCAGAAAACAATCAGTCTAGATCAGATCTTTAATGAAAAATGCAAATATTGAGACAGGAATGCAATTCATTAGTAAGAATAACTATATGTATTTTAATAAAGAAATTAAGAGATACATTTTATTATTAGTACTGTTTTAACAAATATTGCAGTGAATTCCCAGAGGACTTTTGGCATCATGGTAGTGTGATGCTATATTGCTTGAATGAGATGCTATCTGAAATAATTTTCCTATAGAATGTGCTATGGGTGTGATGCAAAAATTTCTAGAAACAATGCTTATTTCCATCTTTCTTAGACATGTTTATAATGGACAAGTCACTAGTCAAGGAATTCTGATGTAATATTATTTATTTGGACATAGTCACGTGTAGTTCCAATTACATAAGGCTAAGTAAGCTATCTTTTTCTGTGTAAGTAATTTTTTCAGAATGCAAGAATCTTATTAATCACTGTTATTATTCAGCAGTTTTAGTCTGAATTCAAATAAATCATCTTAAGAGACCAATATAGCTTTGCGGTCATTATTGTACAATTTTTAACTTGTCATCTGTTACTATTATAAAATAGCTGATATATATTATCTTGAAACATCTGAAAAAAAATATAATCTTAAACAGCAGATATACAACCAACACCAATACCACAGGAATTCAGATGTCTCAATTTAGAAGAATCAATTTTTTTTTATGCTGTATTTTCAATCCAAGTGAGCAAAATTACTTGTGGAAGGATTGGAAGAGAAGTTAGTAGTTAGAGTGTTGAATCTGAAAAAAGCATCACACAGGAAAACATGTTCAAAGGAAGCATGATAACAAATTTAATGGTAGTTCCTTAGATAAGATAAATGTGATAAAAATTTTATACATGGCCATAATGTGTTACAATATACGAGAAATAGGAAAACAGTAAGTTGATAAGCAATGAATCTAAAAACACATCACATGGTAAAGCATGCTTACATAAAGTTTCAGGGAGATATTTTTTCATCACCAAGTTATTGAACTGAGACATTTCACAAACCAAGATGGTCATTCACAACAAATAACATTTAAGTTAATATGTGATTGCTGTTTTTTTTGGTATATACACTGATGAGCAATTCTTTTTTATGTCTGGTTTGTTTAAACATTCCTGCCAGTTTTGTACTTGAAAGACTGACCATCTTACGTTACAAAGTGATTGAAAACTAAAGCAGAAACTGAACCTGTGTGAACAAGGCAAATCAGGAAGTTCATATTGATATGCTCTTTAAGCCATCCTGATATGTCTAAGTGATATTGTAATACGTAGCAAAAATGTACATCACTTTGAACAACCAGATTAAGGTTTTCTTTGACATCACACCCTCCCCCATTTACTTTCTGAGCTCTTTCTCTTCGATTAATCTAATGGTCATGAAAAGAAAACTTAATAAACAAAATATTTAATAAATTTCACTGAGCTGCCAACAAAAGCTAAGTTTTTTTTTATCATTCCTTTACTCTGTTAACAAAAAAAATTCCTCATTTCAAACATTATCTAAAGAGCTGTGTTGCTCACCTAGGTCTATGTGTATCTGCATCAATGGACACTCTCCAGCATATTAGACTAGAAAAATTATTACACCAGGGTTTTCGATATCACAAACTGGTCAAAATATTTACTAAATTTTATCATCGGTACAAGGACATCATTCGTAAATATAAATCAACATGCAGACATCTTATACGTTCAGGTATTTCACATCCAATATTTTATGGTAATATTCTTTACAAAGCACAAAAATGTCGGCATTCACCTCAAAAGCTTACCAAACCTTTAAACAGACTTATTAGGAAAGGATATAGTTAAGATACTGTTTTGGTATTAATATTGATTCACTCATAAAATAAACACATTTATTCTAAAACCAATTGTTGGCATGATACGGGTTATGTTCTTCTCATATATTTTATGATGGTATGATACTAAACCCCTAACAGGAGGGATTGTACTTGATTTTCATATGATGAAGTTATAATCTTTCAATCAGTTTAATTGAGGTCTGGAACTGGCATGTCAGTAACTGCTAGTAGTCCTTTGTTCATTTATGTATCATTGTCATTTTGCTTAGTTTCTTTTGTTACCTATTCTGACATCGGACTCGGACTTCTTTTAAACTGAGTTTTACTGTGCGTATTGCTGTGTTTCTTTATTCTACATTGGCTATAGGTATAGGGGGAGGGTTGAGATCTCACAAAACATGTTTAACCCCGCCGCATTTTTGCGCCTGTCCCAAGTCAGGAGCCTCTGGCCTTTGTTAGTCTTGTATGTTTTTAAATTTTAGTTCATTTATATGTTTTGGAGTTTAGGATGACGTCCATTTTCACTGAACTAGTACACAATTTTATTTAGTGGCCAGCTGAGGACCACCTCCGGGTGTGGGATTTTCTCGCTGCGTTGAAGACCCATTGGTGGCCTTTGGCTGTTGTGTGCTCTTTGGTCGGGTTGTTGTCTCTTTGACATATTCCCCATTTCCATTCTCAATTTTATAGAATATTATACATGACTATGACTAAAATTTACTTTTTGTTGAACTTGCATTGCTGATCATTTTTCTGTTTGCATTTACTCTATATCTTCTATAGTTTTTGTCAAAAAAAAAAAAAAAAAGGGGTAAAGTCTTCATTTAAGGACTACAACTTCTATAAGAAGACAACTGAAAAATTCCTCTACATGTATGCTGACCAATTTGCTGATCATTTGTGCCTTTCTATCTATCTATTATAGTTTTCAAGATGCAAAAATTGGTAAAAATTGTCATTTAAGGGCACTGACTCATATAAAAGTTGACCAACGATTTCAGCTATATCAACTTATTTGTGGATGTTGCCTCGTGGATCATTTTTGCTCTCTAAAATTCTCTCTATCTATTATAGTTTCAATATTTTCATTGCAAACAAACAGAACTAAAGGCTCTAAAGAGCCTGTGTCGCTCACTTTGGTCTATGTGCATATTCAACAAAGGACACTCTCCAACATTGTAGATGAGAAGAGAATTCATAACAAAAATCTCTGTTTTGTTGATCTTGTATTGCTGATCAATTAGTCTGTTTAGTTTCTCTTTATCTTCTTTTATTTTTGCTCAAAACACAAAAGAGGGTAACAAAAATCCTAAACTTAAGGGCAATCACTCCTATAAAGAGTGACAGTCTACTAACTATATCGACAAAATTTGACTTGTTAGTAGATCTTGCCTTGCCGATCATTTTTGTGATTTAAAGTGCATATTTATTTATTGTAATTTTTATCAAATAAGGCAAAACACAAAAAAAAATGGTAAAAATCATCATTAAAGAGCAATAACTCCAATAAGGAGTTGTCGAAACGATTTCCTCCATATATTCTTAATTGTAGTTCTTGTCTTGCTGATCATTTGTGCTTTTTTAGTTTCTTTCTATCTATACTTTTTAGATATAAGGCAAAAATTCAAAAAAATTGTTAAAAATCGTCATCAACGGACAATAACACTAATAAGGAGTCGACTGACCATTTCATCAATGCAGATGCATTTGTAGAACTTGTCTTGCTGGTCATTTTTGCAATTTAAAGTTTCTCTCTATCTATTATAGTTTTGAAGATAATCAGCAAAAATGAAAAAAAATGGTAAAATTTGTCATTTAAGTAAGGGCAATAACTCCTATAAAAAGTCATCTGACATTTTTGACATATATATAAACAATTGGTAGAGCTCAACATTCTGAACATTTTTGCTCCTGTCAGATTTTCTTTAGTTTACAATAGAACATCAAACAATCTGATGATTTTAATTACTGTTTCATGTGCAATCAAGGCAAGGGGTAAAAATTGTGCAAGTTGGCAGGTATCTCATGGTAAGCAGTATATTTTGTAACAATTGCATATCATTTGGACTGGAACTGAAACTGAAAACTCTGCTTAAACTTCCTGTTACTTTTTTCTATTTTCCAACAATTCATTTCATCATAAAAACTATATTACTTGTCAAAAATTTATATGATTACCAAATTTTGTATTTTTATAAACGGCAAAATTATTAGGGCTACATTTTACTTGTTGGTTTTTATATTTGAGTTAATACAAAAATGCATTTAAATAACTGTGATTTATATGGATTTCAATAAAATTAAATTTATTTCTAAATATTCAATACAAAAAAGAATTACTTTGACTTTATTTTGAAACAACCAAAGAAAGTTATAGCAATGAAGAAAACAAATATGTTCACTTGCTGAATTGGATTCATGTTAAAATTTAATCAATCAGTATGAAGAAATATTATTTAGCTTAATAGTCTATTAGGAATCGATGTACATAACTACAGGGAATACCACCACTTTTTAGATATTTTTTGTTACTAACTAGATAACATAGGATAGTTAACATAGCAACAGTATAGTTAGAACAGTTTGGTATGATGACCTTTGACCCTAGTCAGTGACAAACATGGCATTTATGCCACACCAATAAAGACAACAACTATCTTTAAATAATCAAATTTGTTGTTTGCTTCATGAATTGAAAAATTATCTGGCAGTTTAAACAATTTTTGTAATTCATATTGTCATTGAATAATTTATCATTTGGCCTTTTGATTCCTTGATATGTTGAAATAAAGCCATGACAAATTTGCCTATTTAAGAATTATGTTGTAAAAACACGACCAACTTACAATATCATCTTCATTTACATCACTAAACATGGACTCTCCCACTTCCTTTATACGATCTTGGTCTGGTTCATCTTCTGAGTCATCTGGGTTTAATGGTGCTACTTTAATTTTACATTCTGCCAAAATTCTCTGAAAAATTAAAGAACCTTTGTGAGCACACTCACATACCCCATGCCCCCATAATGTCACCTGGAAAACAAAATTTCTCCAGATTCCATAGTTGGAAGACTTATAACTCCTACACAAGTCAACTGACAAAACTTACTTGTTAATAGGCATATCTACATATTATGTCCTAATTAACTTAAAAATTTCATAAAATTCTGTTGTTTGGTTTTAGAGGATTTGTGATGACAAATTGTTGCAGTAGTATATTTAGGCCAAAATTTCTATGTTCAAAGGGGACATAACTCATAGAAAAAAAAATTGATTCGTAATTTCCTGTCAATATGCACATATACATAGTATGTCCTTACTATCTTAACTTATACACATTGCACACTTAAAGCAAGTATCAGACATATAAGGACATTGTAATAGGTGATGGAACACAGTTCAAATTAGTAACTTTTCAAAAGTGCTAATCTTTTCAGCATATCAATTGACTTTGTTGGTATTTTTTTCCTGAACTTCTATGATCTTGCGACATATATATAAGGATAATTTGCATCTTCCAGAGAGATATATACAGCCAGTAGAAAAATTAATTGAAGATGGTACTCAAGAAATTTAAAAGCACAGCAACATTTAAACCAATGTTACACAAAAGCATCTATAGCCTGCTTTCTCATTATTTGATATATATTAGGAGGGAAATGATAACATTATATGGAAATTTTGTTTTTATTTCAATTTATCTTTATTATTTCTATTTACCAGTACCTTTTCTTGTGAGTTTGTAATTAATTTTGAAAAACTGGACAAAAAAAACATTTAAAAGATCAAGTTTTCAGTGTTTGCAGGGGATTTTTTTACACTAGATTCCCAACAGGTACACTTATCTTGAGGTGATACAATACAATTATGAATGAAGGAAGGAAGCAAGATATTAAACCCATTTTCAATGACACATACCTCACAAATATAATTTCTGCAAAGCCATCTGGCATCCTCTGGTAAAACTTTCTCTCCAAATCCATCATGGGCAATTCTGTTGCAAAACCACTGCAAATAGTTAAGTTTAATATGTAAGTACAATAATCCAAGTTAGAAATACATTTGAGAATTTTCATCATTTCATTTTCTCGTAGATATTGTCTTATCATTTCTGCTGTTTACAGTTTCTCTCTATCTTTTATTAAAACAGTTTGAAAATCAATAGGTTGTCCGTTTGGTTGTGCAGATGTATAAATTCGCGGCCAAGTCTAGGCAGAATGGGGAAGTTAAATCTGATGCCTTGTGTAGAGCCTCAGAATGCCAAGCTCTCTGCATGTTAGGGGCATAGGATACAAAAAATATCTCTTGTTGATTTTTCTTAAAATTTTGACACAGTCAATTATAATATGCTCTATTGAAATATGCAAAGAAAATGTATCATCATGACTTACTTTTCAAGAGATTCTAGTGATACATTTGCATATGTCATGTAAAACCACAAAAGTACATTTTTCAATACTTTTCTTAAAAAATAACACAATTTTCAAACAAAAAGATATATTTTTCACACGTTTTTTTATTATTACATTGTAGTTTAAAAATATTTTATTTGTTCCAAATGACAAATGGATCAGTTTTTTTTTTTGCAAAGTGTTCATTAATTTATAGGCTTTTAAGAGAGTACCTAAAATGAAGGCTGAATGCAATAAATTGTTTGTAAAATCATACAATTATTGGTAACTAGAGGCTCTCAAGAGCCTGTGTCGCTCACCTGTATTTACTGATGCTTTGGAAATCATGTAAAATAAGGTTAAAATCATAATTAATAGTATTAGATATTAGATATTATAATGATATCTAAGATAATAACAAAAAACTGCAAAATTTTTGTACAATTACTAACTCAGGGGCAGCAACCCAACAACAGGTTGTCGGATTCGTCTGAAAATTTCAGGTCAGATAAATCTAAATCTGATTTTTTCCACCTGTCAGATTTGCTCTAAATGCTTTAGTTTCAGAGATATAAACCAAAAACTGCATTTTACCCCTATTTTCTATTTTTAACCAAGTCGGCCATGATGGTTGGAAGACGGGGTCATCGGACAAATTTTTTAAACTAGATACCCTAATAATGATTATGGTCAAGTATGGTTAAATGTGTCTCAGTAGTTTCAGAGAAGAAGAATTTTGTAAAAGATTACAAAAATTTACAAAAAATTGTTAAAAATTGACTATTAAGGTCAATAACTCCTAAAGGGGTCGACTGACAATTTTGGTCATGACAACTTATTTGTAGATCTTACTTTGCTGAACATAATTGCTGTTTACAGTTTATCTCTATCTATAAAATATTCAAGATAATAACCAAAAACTGCAAAATTTCCTTAAAATTACCAATTCAGAGGCAGCAACCCAACAACAGGATGTCAGATTTGTCTGAAAACTTCAGGGCAGATAGATCTTGACCTGATAATCAGTTTAACCCTGTCAGATTTACTCTAAATGCTTTGGTTTCAGAGATATAAGCCAAAGTCTACATCTTACCCCTATGTTCTATTTTTAGCCATGGCGGCCATCTTGGTTGGTTGGCGGGGTCATCGGACACATTTTTTAAACTAAATACCCTAATGATGATTGTGGCCAAGTTTGGTTAAATTTGGCCCAGTGGTTTCAGAGGAGAAGATTTTTGTAAAAAGCTAACGACGACGGAGGACGACGGACGCCAAGTGATGAGAAAAGCTCACTTGGCCCTTCGGGCCAGGTGAGCTAATAAAAAGCTGTAAATAGTTAATGCAAATACAAAAAAAGTATGTTAGTGTTTATTTCAATATAATATTCTTGAAGTTGTACATAGTTGATTGCATAAGAAAAATGTGTTAATTTATAAGCTAGAAATTGAAAACCTAGTTTCCTAAATGCTGGAGATCCAATTTTCCCTTTTTGGTGCTAAATAACATAGCAGTGTATTCCTTATGCAAAATTGTTGTGCAGCTTTTCCTGCTGTATAACAGCATGATTTACGAATTGCTGTCATATACCAATTTATTGGTGATTTGCAAAAAACTTTTAAATTTGGATGCATTATTATCTGTGACTATATCATATGCCCTTAAGAACCCTTGTAACAACTATTTGAGGGGTCCTAGGTGGCCTGTTGTAAGGCTAAATTTCTATCCTTATCTACTATACCTGAAATTTTCAATTGCATCTCAAATTTCCGGCCCTTCACCCCGGTCAACCCCTTTTATTGGACTACCTATTGTATAAATTGTTAAATTGTATTCGTCCTGAACATGCATGAAATATTTGCCACTAGCCATAAATTATACAACAATCAATATTAGAAGTTTTGCTGAGCATTTTGGATTTTTTTTAAGGTTTTGTCTTATCTATTATAGTTTTAAAAAAATCGACAAAAATTAAAAAATTGGTAAAATTTGTTATTTAAAGGCAATAATTCCTATAAGAAATAGTCTGACAGTTTTGACGTAAAACACTGTAGATAGATCTCTCATTCTGAACATTACTCTCAATGTCAGATTTTTCTCCATCTATAGCAATTTTTAAGATAATAGACACAATTTGCATTTTACCCCTTGTTCTATTTTTAGCCATGTTGGCCATGAAGGTTGGCGGTTGCTGGCCAGGTTCACGTATGGACACATTTTTAACTACATACCAAAATGATAATTGTGGCAAAGTTTGGTAACTTTCCGCCCTGTAGTTTCAGAGGAAATTATCTTTGTAAAAGTTAATGGATAACAGACGACAAAGACAGACGACAGACACCAAGTGCTGGTGCCAGGTGAACAAAAAAAATGTATATCTGCTTCATATATCATAAATATATTAGCATGAATAAGGAATAAATTTCATTCTAGTCCATTTTTGTAGAAATTTGTCACCTTTTTTCATGAATTCATATTTGGCGGCACCCCTCTCCCAATGAAATTTTGGTTGAAAAGTAAAGAATATGGTATATAAAGAATATTTCAGCAATAATATTTGTGGATTCGGGGTGGTGTAACCATTAATTTTTCACAAAATTGTCATAAATTTTTCCAAATTATGCAAAAAATCAGGTTTTAATGAAATTCACCTACATTTATGACATCACAAATATGTCACTAATGAAGCAGTCCTGATTAGTGAAAAACAATTGGGCATATTAAAATATGTTTTCATCAAATTTTCACAACATTATTGCAGTTAATAATTTTCAGATTTTTCAGGCCAAAATTATGAGTCAGTTACTCCTTTATAAGAATGCAATTTCTATTCATCACCACCTTGTTTCAAACAAAGATTTTCAAATAAAAACTTAATTTTACATATCATGATATTCAAATAGAGATCTGAAAGAGAAAGGGGTAATTAAAATATTATTAAACAACTATGAGCTCATTATATGACATATTATGACATTGAGGACTTTTGTTCATAGACACATAGGTCAGTATAAGTTGGACTTACTTGAGGCAAGTTTTTAATTTCAAGTGAAAAGTTTTTCAAGTAGGTAACTGTTTTGCTGGAAGCTTTCTAAAGTGTTATATACTTTTCAAAACTACAAAAATACTTACACTGAACAAGAAGAAATACAGTTAACAGTATAAAAACAGACAATTAAATGTTAGTACGATATTACAACAAATTACCAAAAAAGTACTACTATATCTACATTCCAAAAATCAGTCAAACATGGCACAAAGTCTACCATGAATTATTTCAGTTTGCAAAGAATTCCACTAAAACCGGTGCTAGGGCCCTGTCTTAGTAAAACACTTTGATAAAGTACTATTTGTTATTGTTTTATATATATCTGTGTTTTTATTGTTATATTATATTGGTTTGAGTTCAGTGCTTTTTAAGAGGATTTGTTGTATATTTTCTTCTATGTACATTTTGTTTATCCACTGAAAGAGTTCAATAAGGGATAGGATCATAGGATGGGTGTTTAAGAAATTAGTCTAACCCCATTACATGTGTGCTTGCCCAAGTCAGACACCTTGTCATAGGTTGTCTTCAGTCATATCTGAATGATTTATCCTTCATGAAATTTGATGATGATGGCATATCTATATACAGCATCTGTAAAATTTATTCACGACTTTTCAAGGCTCAGGTAATTTGGAGCTTGCAATATTGTATACTGGACAATTATCTATTGATGAAGACTGTATGTTGACATCATGACATCTTTTACTCTTCTGTGTTGTTGGTACTCTCTCATTGACATCCCACATCTTATATTACTAGTAATAAAAAATAAATATTCTTGGAGTTTTCTTTTGTTGTGACTTCTAATACCTTTCAAAAAGGAACCAAATCCATTTACTTGTGATGGTATAATGATTGACACTTTCTAACTTGACGTTTAGACAAAACCATTGAATTTCAGAACAAATAAGGTCCCAAGATTAAAATGTATTTAACAATCTAGAAGAAAATGTATTTAATCATCCATAGTATTACCTTTTGAGTTAAATCATTGCTGTGTCTTTTTTTCTAATAAACAAACTATTATGAACTACAAACCTCTCTTGTTTTTTCCCCAGTTGGTACTGCAAACAATCTTACATGATAATCATGTGTCAGATCTTGTGAACATTCAAAGAAGTTTGCATCAACCTTAAAATGTGAAGTAAATCTACTGAATTAGGTGTTTACAATAAAAAGTTATGTTTTATGAATATGATATCAGATTTGATAGTAAATGTCTATTACTTTGACACAGCAATCAAATGACAAAGGTCAACATAAATAAAAGAGTTCTAAATCTAATGAAACTTCAGTACATGTAATGACATTGCAAATTTCTGTTTTTTATTTTTTTTTAAACTTTCGTTTTTGTGCATACCGGATAAACACATGGACACATTAATCAGAATTATAGGTTTTAACACAGTTTCCAAAGACTTACGTAGAGTATTCATAATCATATTTTAATAGTAATAGGGCATCATTTACATAATGTCTTATTTAAACAAACAAGAAAAATACAGGGTCTGGATTGTTTCTGCATGCAATATTGATTGAGGCAACATACATACTAATTTACTAAAGCATAACTGATAATTCCTTGATGAAGCCAAAAAAGAGTTTGGTGAAAAAATGTTTCTAATACAATGACTTTTGTCAATTTTCAAACTATCTGCAAACAGGAAGTGGTGGCACTGCTGATGTAAAAATTGCTTCCACCCTACAACTCAACATTATCAAGCTTCAGACAAAGAATAAGATTATTCTCATCCATAGAAGCCAAAAAAAGTTTGACAACAACTTTTCTTTGTACAATGAGCGTTATAAAATTTCAAACTAATGGCAAACATGAGTAGGGTGCAGACAGAAGTAAAATCGCTTACACTCTACAACTCAACAATATCAAGCTGTAGATCAAATATAAAATCATTCCCTTTCATAGAAGCCAAGAAAACTAAGAATTGGTGAAAGTTTTGTACCCAAGGTCTTTCCCACAGACAGATGGAGCTCTTATAAGCCCTATTTTCACCAATGGTGACGCAAATGAAAACAAATAAATAATTAATAATATGAGGCTTTTCTTTAATATTATAATGTCACAAAAAAATAATTCGAATTTAAAGTAAATTGAAAGAAAGCATTAAAAGACTAAGGATTTAATTTAAATGCATACTTTCATATACCGGTAATAACTTTTCTAATTATTTATATTATATCTTTAAATTTATTTTATAGAATTAAGAAAATTGAGATATATGTGGTAAATTTCAACAAAATAGTTTCATTGCTTTGTTGCGTGGGGTATGGTGAACTGTTGACACAGATGTTCTCAACTGAGCGTCATTTCAATAGTATAATGCAAATATTAAAATAGACCATGACTAAGGGGGCAGGGCCAAAAAATCTCAATGGAAATTATATATACCAATAATAATAATATGACTGCTTACCAATTATTATCAATGACTTACAACAAGATTTTTCCATTAAATAAACTGACCCAATCCATAATTTGTTTTCCTTGGCTTCCCCAAATTTGTCCAGGCAGGACAAAAAATCAGAAGACATCTCCAGTTTTAACAAAAAACTTGATAGATCAACACATCAGTTGATTAATCAATTACAAACAAGAGGCTCTCAAAAGCCTGAATCGCTCACCTGCTGTTTTGTTATTTATTTATTCTTTCCTTTACCTTATTAAGAGTCATTTTGTAGGTCTTGTATTGATGATCATTTTTACTGTTAACAGTTTATACCTATCTATTAAAATTTTTGAGATAAAAAAAAGTGATTTAATGGCAACAAATTCTAAAACTAGTGTGACAATTTGGCCATGCTGACTTAGTGGAAGATTTTATTTGGCAGATAGTTTTTGCGTTTCTTTCTAACTTCTATACTTTTTGACAATAAAATGCTCCACAGGGCACAGCTTGATACGACCACAGAGGTCGAACCCTGAACAGTAAGGGCAAGTATGGACACTACATTCAAACTTGATACAGCTCTGAATTTGGATTGTGATTAAATATTTGACACATCATAGGTTTCTGACATAGAATAAATGTAGTCAAAGAACTGAAAATTTTGAAATTGGACTTATACCTATTATGGTCCAATATCCAAAATCTAAATACACAGTTAGATTCAGCTTCTTATAGAGTCCCTAGCTCAAATTGTCCATTAATAAATATAGCATTCTGCAAATTAATGTATACAGAAAATCAAACAAACATACCTCGAAGTTCTTCAAAAAGTTTACCAAAAAAAAAATGAAAAAAACAATTTCCAAAATATCATTCCTCATTAATACAGTCATACATTTATCCACAAGAAATCGCATCAAAATGATGATGGATTGAAAATCAGCTTATCAGCTACACCCCTTAGAAAACACAAAATTTTCTAATAAATTTGTCACTCAAATTATATCAAATATCCATTTACATCAGCAGGTCAAATCTTAAAGTTCAAAGTGTTCAGGACTTATGCAGGCAGATAGAAATTAAAGTAATGACAAAAGATCACATTTTCTGATGTCTATGCATTTTCCTAGGAATATTTGGGTTTTTAATGAAATGAGATTATACTTTTTTAAGCATTGTAAAACAGGGTAACATTTCCTATACAAATATGTATTTCTAATTCAAGACAAAACAAGACCAATACCCAGTCTGGACCTGCATCTCTGCATGCAATTGATTTAGGTAACACATATACTGGAGCATAACTGATCATTCCCTTTCAATGAAGCCAAGAAGACTTTCACAAAAATTTTCCCTGTACAATATGGATTGAAAAATTTCAACTATCGGCAAACAGAAAGTGGCTACAGGACAAGACATGAAAATTGCTTACTCCCTACAACTCAACATTTAGTCTTAGATACATGATTTTTTGATTAGTTGTTTTTGGCTTTGAACTAGCTGTCAGTAACTGCGAGTACTCTCAATATAAAAATAAGGAAATGTAGTATGATTGCCAATGAGACAACTATCCACCAAAGTTCAAATGAAGTGGATGGAATCAATTATAGGCAACCGTCCAGCCTTCAACAATGAGAAAAACCCATACTGTATAGTCAGCTATAATAAGCCCTGACATGAAAAATATGAAACAATTCAATTGAGAAATTAACGACCTAATTTATAACAAAACAACATGAACCACTGAACTACAGGCATATAAAGAATGTGGCAGGGTTAAACATGTTTGTGAGTGCTCAACCCTCCGCTAACCTGGGACAGTAGTGTAACAGCACAACATAAGAACAAACTATAACAAGAGGCTGTCAGAGTGACAGCAAACCAGATTTTCCTGCAGAGGTCGAACCCTGAACAGTTGAGCAAGTATGGACACTACATTTAAGCTTAAAACAGCTCTGAATTTGGATTGTGATTGAATATTTGACACAGCATAGGTTTGTGACACAAAATGAATGTGGTTTTAAGAACTGAAATACTTGAAATTGGACATTTAAATACCTATTATGGTCCAATATCAAAAATCTAAGTACATATCAGAATCAGCATATCAAAGAACCCCAAGAATTCAATTTTTGATAAAATCAGACAAAATTTAATTTAAGACCCTTTGGACCTCAATGTGGACCTATTTGATAAAGGAGCCCACAATCCAAAATCTCTCAATACATGGTTAGATTCAGCATTTCAAAGAACCCCATCAATTATTTTTTTGTTGAATCAAACAAAGTTTAATTTTGGACCCTGATTTGGACCAACTTGAAAACTGGGCCCAAAAATCTAATATTTAAATACAGGTTTAGATTCAGCATTTGAAAGAACCCTATACATATTTAATTTATGTTGAAATGAAACACAGGTTAATTTTATCCATAATATTTTATGTGCAAAGGGAATTAACTCAAACTGGATATGATGCAATTTTTCAAATTATAATCAATAATATAATAACAACAACCAGTGATGACTAAGTTCTCTAAAATTAGATATGATTTAACACTCAAACATTGTTAGAATCAGCATATCAAAGAACCAAAGAATTCAATTTTTGATGAAATTAATCAAAAGTATAATTTAGGACCCTTTGGACCTCAATGTGGTATTATCTTATTAATAATGAAAAGAAAAACAGGTTTAGATTAAGCATTTCAAAGAACCCTATATATATTCAATTTATGTTGAAATCAAACACAGTTTAATTTTGGACCCCAATTTCGACCAACTTGAAAAGTGGGCCCAAAATCAGAAATCTAAATATATGTTTATTAATAGACAATATAAGCTTAGTTTTTAAAGGAGTTTACTTCATAAAAAAAAATATATAGCATTCAGAAAATTAGTTTTTACAGAATAACAAACAAACTTGCCACAAAATTCTACAAACAATTTACCAAAGAAAAGAAGAAAAAAATCCAAAATTTTATTTATCATTAATACAATGTCATTTCAAAATCTATAAAACTTATCAGTAACAAGAAATAATTGTTACAGAATGCTGTTACGAAGTCTCCCAAACAAAGCTCCAATAATTCGTCATTCCCATTGTCGCTTGACATTGGGCAATGTCCAGTACAAATTGGTTTATGATATGCATTAGTGACGCCTATGGATATACCCTGAATGTCATTCAAATCTTCTTGAAATTACGAACAGGAATTTATATGGTTAAGGGGTGGAGATCCCGACCGTTTACAAGTTCTCAAAAGGGGGGGTGTGATCCCCAGGGGACTCTCCCTTTATTTCATATGATTTGTTTTTTTGTCCGGTACAAGAATATATATGGTTTAGGGGTGGGGATCTCAACCGTTTACAAGTTTTTAAACAGGAGGGGGGTGGGGTGACCCCAGGGGACTCACCTTATATATCATTTGATTTGTTTTATGGTCCCATACAAGAATATATATGGTTTCCGCGTGGGGATCTTGACCGTTTACAAGTTTTCAAAAAGAAGGGGGGGTGGGGGTTACCCCAGGGGATTTCCCCTTAATTTCATTTGATTTGTTTTATTGTCCCATTCAAGAATATATATGGTTTAGGGGTGGGGATCTAGACCTTTTACAATATTCAAAAAAGAAGGGGGGTGGGGGTGACCCCCATGGACTTCCCCTATATTTCATTTGATTTGTTTTATTGTCCCATACTATAAGTTATATGGTTCGCTACTGACCC